ATATCTCAGTGGTACAGCGAAAATATGGTCACTTTTCCTTGAAACTAATGTAACTGAAAAAATCCGTGTACAACCCACGATATTTTTGAAAATTATGAATGTTTAAAAGCTATTTAAAATTTGTCAACTAAATAATCAAAATAGCTAATAAGTTTATAAATTTTTTAAGGTTATATTGTTAACTCAACATGCATCTACTCGTATGCATTATTCTTTCTCGGGTCGTTCCTCATTCTACACTTCAACATGGCCACAGCTTACAAGAAAGCCTATAATACATTGTGGGTACAACGTTATTTATTTAGCACTAAGTCTAACAATATTATTATTATGAATTTTAAAATTAAACCTCCTAAGAAATCGGTGTTGCGTGCAACAAAGTAGCTTTAAACATAAACTGGCAACATTCAGTTGCTTAATGTCGGCTCGTAAACTTAAACATAATCGTTAGTACCAAAAAGTTTCACAACGTTGATTGTATGAACACTATTTCATTTGAGCTTTCACTGTCATAAGCTTCTTGCTAATTTAAGCTTTCTATTCTTAACATTTCAAAAACTATACAATTTATTTATTTAATGTACTTTGTTTACTAGATTATGTTCTATAATTATGCTAAATTACAGCAAGATGTGTTTACCACTTTTGGAGATACCTTCAAACAAAAATCTCACCATCCATCCACCTAAACATTTGCATAAATAATATTACTAAAATTTTAGAAATTGGTAAAATTACTATCTGTAATAGAGAATCTATTTTGTCACCAAAAACTTTATAAGTAAAGGTCTGAGATACAATATATGGCCATTATATAGATATTACCGAAGTCTTTAAAGATTTACATTAATTGTATTATACAAAATTTAACTAGCTATAACTAACCTAACTATTTAATTTTGTGTTGTATGTTACCTACATTTAATCCATCAAACAAGTCTGGTGGCGCCAGACGCGGCGCTGACAGCTTTCAAACCCATCATTCTAATTCGAGTGAATTATAGACACGCGCGATAAGAACTTTGTGACTTCATGTTGCGGTTATGATGTAAATGGGTAGATATTATCTGCTCATCTCAGTGCAGTGTTCAAATACAGTGGGTTTTCATTGTCAAAACATGTACAAAAACATATTGCCTCCGTCAGAGTACAATATAAATGGTGCTTTCAGCTATACTTCGTATACTGACAAATATTTGTTTATTTTAAACTCATAACCTAAAAGTTTGAAGAATATAAGTCTGAATACAGAAAATGTGTTGTATTTTCTGTATTCAGCCTCAGCCTCACCAAATTTATTTTGTGCGTAAAAGATGGCGGCGTCAAATTGTCATTAAAGTTATTGTGATAAAGTTAATTTCAATTTACTTATAACAAATTTTAATTGAACTACATATCTTCCAACATATATTTTCCAATTGCGACATATTGGACTATCTCCGCGGCTGACCCTCAACCGAAGAAAGCTGCATATTAATATAATGTACACGTAGACATGCGCCGCGCCGCCGACACAATTACAACGCAATTAATTCTCATTAACGTGTACAGATTCATCCGTCAAATTGTCACATCGTAAATAGAAAGGTTATTTTAAGAGCTACAATTCGCAAAGAATTACTATGAACATAACTATTGAGAAGGGTGTCAGTGACTCGCCGCAAACGGCAAGTAGCGTCGTCTGGCACACGTCCAGTCACTGAACTTGATCTCTCGGGATATTCCATCCCCTAATGTTTACGAGACGAGTCTCAGATAATGACCGCCTATTACACGACTACTTTCAATTGCACCTCATGATAATTTCGAGTAAATATAGCGTAGTGAAATAACACTAGGCGCCAATGATAAACTTGTTTTGGTAACAATGTAAGGTGCGTTTAGTGAAACATTGTTATTCTTGGAGACCGTCCGCGCCTCCTTGTCCGCTTTTTTATTTTGATACAAATATGTAATTATTAATATATGTGAAAAAATAATTTATACAGACCAATGTCACCATGACAGTGGAACCAGTTCTTTCAGGGTGTTATGGACAAAGAGAGTCAAAATCCTAAATATCGTGGCGACAAACCATTTGATTGGCGAATCGATGAGTGATATCCTCATAGTTGTAAATTACATTGAAATAAGTTTCTTTAATTAAATTCAATCAGTTAATGTGAAAATTACGAAACATAAGTAAAACGATAACGCTTGCTGATTCGTGTGACAATATGAAAAGGCGTGCGACTTTAGTATTACGGAGATAAACACGGTCAATAGCAAATGGATTTATGTACATTCGGCTCCATTATATCTAATATAAACACAGGTAACGATGAATTTTATATTTTTCGATATACCGTACAATATGGATTAAGTTAAGATATTAAATTAAGGAAATTAATTTATGTAAATTGTTATTTTACAATCACGGACGCTAACAAGAACCCAGAATTATGTTTTTTGTGATTTGTTAAAAATAAACTTTTTCTGACTGAAAATTCGCTCGATTTAGATTACTCCAGAAAGATATTTACAGAAAAGAATAAATATTGCCGTGCTAATTTCCACGAAAAGGTATAAAAGTTACTAAGGACTTAATGTAAGGCCATTAAGGACTTCCCACGGAAGTAAGCTAAAGCGTTCCCGTGGTGCCCGCCGTAATGCGTCAGAGGGCAGTCAGGTTTTAGTGGGTATTCTGGACACCTTCTGTGGCTGGCGAGTCCCACACTCCCTACGCCATTGCACCGCCCGGCGTAGGCGTGCGTAAATGCATTTCCTGACTATAAAAAAAAAGCCATTAAGGACTTACTTCATAATTTCTATAAAAGATATTAGATTGATATATTTCCATATAAAGATATATAGTTAACAAATCAGGTTAATACTTCAAAAGTGGTAAACTGAGTTACTGATAAAATGTGAATACAACATAAACTATTGCAAAAGCACCTAATGTTTTTATTGTGTAGACGTTTGTCCGTTAAGGAGAGTTTCATTCGCAGGCGTCAAATTAGATTTCGTCGAAGACAATCAACATGACACGAGACCTCTTAACATGCGTGATTCATCTTAATCAAATAAATAAGATGAATCTAAATAGATAACAGCGGTAATACTTTGCCAGACAGCGCGCTTCGTGCCTTCAAATTGATACCAATCAAAGCAAAGCTGTCCTGTCCTAATCTTCCGTATTAGAATTGAGGAAAATGTTAAATCTTTTTAATATGATTCAAATAATCCTCAGTACATTTCAGCCTAACCAGTAAACAAATGCTGTTAGATATCGAGCCTTGGATTCGAATTACAATCAGAATCACAGTTTTCGATTGAATTTTTCATAACAAATAATAACCCAACAACCCGTACAGTCAAGATCAGTGGCAGTATTCCATGTTAAAAGCAGCGATCTTTTCCACTTGTATGCCTATGTATGCCTTGTTATCATAATGGTCAAAGGTAGAGGGAATGGAAACCAAAGTTGTTTTTATTGTGTTGAAGATAACCAAAATATTGATAGCATTGTTAATTATAATAAGGGGTAGAGGGTTCGAATTGCAGGGCAAATTTTCTGTAACTGTAACACCGCGATTGAAGGCGACTGTACATCTTGAATTTCATGTAAGTGTAGAAGTAACTTGAGACCGATCCCCCGCGTCGGGATTAATAAAAGTGTTCATTGCTATCGTAAGTGTTAGCCTCATATCTAACAATTAAGTTAAGATAATACTTAACATCCAACTTACGGTTATGATTTTTACGAATATATTACTTAGTAAGGAAAGACCTTATAAACTTTATATTTTATGTTTGATTTAATAACAACCTATAGGCTTTTAAAACAAAAGAACTGTTACTATGTTCCACAATATTGATTCCATTGAATCAACGTCAATGAGTCGAATGATTAGAAATTGAATATGTAAAAACTGTCATGGCAACAATCACAAAAGGTAAGCAATCACCAACAGAATATGAGCACGATAATGCGTTGTTTTAAGACGAAACGTGGATCATATTCGAACATACGAGCCTGCTGTGGTCTTTGAACGAAATAATTATTAACATTACCCTCTATAATCACGACATTGTGTTCTTCGTGATTTCAACATTTTTTTGTAACACAATTTTAATTAGAAAATTTAGCATACGTCAAAAGATCACATTCCTCAAATTTTACATGTGTGTCATATTATATGATGGTTTACTGCTTTGTTTCACAGTTTGGTCCATTTTTGTCAATTTTGTTTGATCAAACACATTTGCACGTTTATCACATGATAGAAAACGCATACTAAAAATTCAGTAATTAAATGAAATATTAAATCATATTATTAATTTAATTCCCTGTTCTCTTTTCAGTTATATCTCCTTGTATATTTGGGACAGCAATGAAAAATGTAAACCCCTGTTCCTTCAGTTTAAGTCACATAGACGTTTCAGAGGTAATTTTCTTACTGTAAAAGGAAAAGGCGCACGAAAACCATCATCACTTAAATGATTCCGTCACTAGTGTATTTCGAGTTTCGGAACTCTTCTTCTCTTCGGAACTCCTTCCAACTACGCCTCGTCTTGATGATTGGCATTTCTCAACGACGAGGATTTCGCGTAGCTTCCCACCTCACACAGTCGCGTTGAATATTGTGTTATGGTCCATCATGAAAATAACGTACTCCCTCCCACCTTAAAGACCGGAAACGCATCTGCGGTTTCTTTGGTATTGCAGATGTCTAAGGACAATAATACTCTCTCCGTCGAACCTCCATCAACTGAAACGCTACTGATACTAACGTTGAAGCACACTTAAAGCGATAATGATAAAACTCCAGGGGAGTCACACCGAAGACTAACCAAGTGATAAGGATAATGAGAAGGTCGCTCAGAGTAGAACGTCGCAGGCCAGAGGAGGCAGCAGATGCGGGGCGAGCGGGCCCAGGCGCGGGCGGTGCGCGGTGAGGCGTGCCGGTGCGCGCGCGCCGCCCACCACGTTATAAGCGTGCGCGGCGTGCTCGGCCGCACAGCGTGACCGGCGCCCGAGAACGACGCTAGAGCGTGCGGTGCGACAGCGACACGTCTGCGGCCCGCTCAACTCCCGCGCCGATACCGCACTGCTACAGCGTGTAGACCGTCTCGCGCGAACTCTGTGCTACTCATTATATCGTGATACGAATCCCGAAGATCGCTCCGGTGCTACCGTATTGCCGTTCTGAAGATTACTCAGCTGGCGACGACCGCGACCACAACCGCGCTACACGCCCATTACTGGCTGCATGCAAAGGTAAGCGACCTCTACTAACAATTACTACATTTTTCCTAATTAAATTAATGGTTAGATGATTTAAAAATCTACGAATTAAATATTGTAAAAAATGTTAACATTAAAACTTACCAATTTTATAGGTCGCTAAACTTGTCTTTCTATGGGCGTTGAAACTCTACAGAAAATTCGCAGAAACGCTTTCCACAATACATACTCGTATTTTCCTTCGTAGTAAAACTTACTCATTTACTTTCTTTTTATAATTTCTTTAACCATTTGAAATAACTATCTATCATACTGGTATATTTATGAAAACACTAGAAAGCACCTAGTGACACTTTAACCTTTGCGCAATTCGAATAGCACCTTTCATGGCTCGATATACAAGTAATAGATTTCTTACATAAATCTAAACAAAACGGTTGAATACATTGCTTATCAAAATTTGATCCTAATTAACCCTTGATTGATAATCTGTTCTGTATTTTTAATTCTTATCTATTGAAGATACTAAAATAGTGTTTAATTATGCAAATTTGTTTTTAAACTATTAACAATGTTGTATTCAACTGAAAATATGTATCCGAACATTACGTCTTATTTTTAAAAAAAAAAGAAGAAATAAACAATTTTTCTACATTTCGATCAAAATCTAGCTTTCGACTTCGGCTTCTTTTATGATGTTATCTGTATGCGGAAAATTCGCAACGCGTTAGATTCCTAGTTCTTATTATAATTTTTACAAATACGACCGTCGCGAATTTATATTTTGCGTGGGGGTCAACGTTTAAAGTGGGGTCGAAAACATACGCTCGGCCACCGCGCCCGCCGGCCACTGGCTTCACCTGTGACCTTGTCTCGCGCCAAGAGGACCGCCTCCTCTTCGGTTACGACCCGAATTACTACGGGGGCATCAGTGTCGGCTCATCATTCGGGTTAGAGTGTGTAGAACCTGGGCTTACTTTTTCTTCGTCTTCCGTTAAGGATTGTAGATGAACGTCCTCAAAAAAGTCAATTTTGATAAGTCTGTTCTCGGTTTTTTAGTGCCGCAAATTTTTGATTATACGTTTATTGATAGTTGCCAGCCCTATTGTCATCCGTCTCTTTATAATTAACTGACCGATACACTGTATTTTTAGACCCTCTTTATCAGTAAACAATGAATGGAACCAGAGATTATATGATAATCTGGTATAATATAGATATATTGATTTATTTTTTTAATACTTGTAAGAATTGAAAGAGTACGCTAGAAAAAAACTTCGAAAAAACCGAACTTCTGCTTTGTACTGCTATGATATTTGTTTTGCTTTTATTAAATTATGTACTTAATATTGACTGGTGTCCGAAAAATGTTTTGTCTCTTTAAGCAATTATTGACTACTCTTTTAAATAAATAATTGCTAATAATCTGATCTACTCTCATGATGTCTGTAAAAAATTATCTTGTAATTTTTTAAATGTTAACTAGCTAACCCATTTGTACTTTGTATAAATGTATGGGCAAAGGCGACAGGTTTTTCCAGACAGCTTTCCTAAAGCGTTAGAATATGTGATAATGGCTAACTTGCAACATGTTAAGAGATAGTAGTTACTTAGTATTCAAAGTAAAACATATAAGTAACCAGAAAGTAACAAGCACTAGTATTCCCTGTTACAAACCTCTGGAACATTCTATAGACTGTTATGTGAGCGAAAAAATACAGACAGTCAAGATTGACCTCTTGACATACAACTTTATTGTTATTGATACGGTTAAAAACATATTACGAGTTCGAAGAACACGTGGAGAGAATACTATTCAAGTCTCTCGTAATAACAGATGTGTTGACGACCGACAGTCTAGCTAAGTGCTTCTCAAACTTATACATTTTTGTAACTAAACCGATAAGAAGAATTTCGTTTACTCGCTTGGCAACTGTATAACAATTAGAATAGTAATAATTATTACAAATGCCTGATTAAAGTATATCAAAGTAAGTGCAAAAATATTTTGTCATTAAATAAGAATTGCTAATATAAGAGTCGATGCTAGGCACAGGTCACGGTCCTCAGAAAGGGTATCAAAACGTAGTCACTATGTCGCTCTACTGTAAGTACGCGGAACATACTGTAACATTTTAAAATTTATTCAGACTTCGTTTGCGCAGAATTAATAAATCTAGTAATTACCTATGTTACCCGGGGATAATATAGCTTACAACGGTGAACCATTTTTTCAAATAGTTTCAGTAGTTTTGGAGCCTATACATTGCAAACAAATAATCAAATCTTTTCTCTTTATAATATTAGTATACATTAATAGTAACTAAGAACTCGATAGACAGTCAAATCAATTTCGAATTGAGTTTAATTGACCAAATTTACTCTCAGCCAGAATTTCAGAGTTATCATCTCTCATCTTTCATTTCTCATCGAATAATATTAACCTTTATGTCAATCGGGTAATAAGATATGTACTTGCGCTATTTATTCGTTGAGTAATTACGTTAACTAGTGATTGCCCTGTAGTTAAAATTCGAATATAGGTAGTTCAGAATGAAAAGATTTTTTTATAATATTTTTTCGTATCAATTAAATCGATTAAATTTTACAAAATAAAAAAGGAAAAGATTGAGCGGCACTGGTCTGATATACGACTTTATAAATGTTTCGGACTCTGTACCAAGTTGTAGGAGGCACTGACCGCCCGCCAAACGTCAATTGTGTCTGCCGATTACACACGCTTGACCCATCAAACTTTCAACTAACCCTAGGTCTCCACTCTCGAAACACCTGTACAAAACCATAGTGTCATCTCTTTCAAACTCTTTAAATATATGTTTTGTACAGGTGTTTTAGCAGTGGACACTCACGCTAACTCACACCTTAGTCGACATCGTAATCTATCCGATACTTTAAATTAACGTTAAATTTAAACTTTTATAATCATTCTCCACTTGACTTTATCATTTAATTTTAAGCATCTAAAATAATCTAAACTGTAATTAAAGTTTTTATTAATTTTTAAACTCAAAGCACATATTTAGTTTAATTTAAAATATTTTCTAAGATAAATCAGGTTCACGAAAACATAAAATAATTTTTAGAAATTACTAAATTCTAAGTACTACTTTAATTAATTAAAGAATGCTAAAATAGAGTGTATTACAAAAATTGTAAAATTTAAAAAAGTAGAAAAAAGCTGTGAAACAAAATTGTGGTCAAATATCGTATTATTTATGAACCGAATAAATACACAAATTAAATGCAGTTTCCAGTTAGTCGTCAAATGCAATAACATCGTAAGAATTTTAATTTATCTTGCACATAAATAATTGAGAGGTCGCGGCGTAGCAACAAGGCAGGCATACATAAATTTAATGACCAGCACATCGGATAGTGCCTAGATAAAACGAGTCGCGCAACTCTAGTTGCTACGCGCGGACTTGATTACTAAATTGCCAAAGGCATTCGAACGTAATGACGGTTCTCGGCAAAAATATGATCGCTTCCTTAACTGTGGATTAAAGGTGCGTTCAAATTTAGCATTACTACATGCTATAATTCGTACAGCTAGTATGTAGCAAGGCTGCAAGTCTAGCGAGCTATAGATGTATGTCATTATTCAATCGAGTGCAGTCGTACCGAGGTGCGGGAGTCTTCCGCCACGCACGCGGCCCGCACGTGACCCGACAGCCGGACCTGTGGCGCTGGCAACGCACTGACTTCATGTAATGCGTGCGGTGTCTGCTCTTTTACATCCTACAACGCACACGGCAACAATAAACTTTAACTTATTTTAACTCAACTTTTTTTTAACTGAAACTTATAATTTTAGCCATCTAAATTGCAATCTAGGACAATCAAATTGAAAATGGAATTTTAAAATTAATTTCGCCTTACAATTTTTGTTTGTAATTAAGTTAGTGTAATATTAACAGGAATCGTCCTTAATTAATTCAGGCGAGACTCAATAAATATGACACCCTGGTAATTCTTATACTGTTTCATAAAGACTAATAAATTTAGTTCTGTGTAAAAGTAAAACGTGTGGAGTCCACACATAAAAAACAACGGTGTTCTTATAAATTGTAGTTGCTACAAGAACACCTTCTTACTAATATTATAAATGCGAATGTTTGGAAGGATGGATGGATGTTTGTTTGAAGGTATCTCCGGAACGGCTTAATGGATCTTTATGAAATTTGGCACTGATGTAGAACATAGTCTGGTAGAACACATTGGCTACATGTTAAGTTTTTTTTAATTCCGCGCGGACGGAGTCGCATGTGACAAGTAGTTGAGAAATAATTATTATAGACTACTACAATCAATCATGTATCTAATACATTTTTCATTAAATCAGTAATAATTGCTTATTAACTTGGACAAGCAGAGCGGCATAATGTAATTGTTATAATATTTTAAATGCTAGGTACTCGTATATAATTGCATTATTAAAACTTTGTCTCCACGATATATAATTACTAACCACACAATGAATTCAATAATCCTGTAACCACTTAATACATATGTATAAAATAAAACAATATAAAAAGTAAATCACTATCTAAATAATCGCTGGCCAGTGTGTCTTGTAAATTAATTAACATTTTTTGTCATTATTAATTTAAAAACTGTGTTGTTTAAAAATTTGTGGTTACTAAGAAGGGCTTCTTAGTAACCACAAATTTGCTGCAATCATTTAAATTACAAATACAGAAGTGATAAACATTTCCCTCTTGTCAATCGGAAAATCAGTTCCCATATTTTAAAGGCCCAGTTTGAGTTGCCGCGACTTTTATATTTTTTAGCTTAAAAAAACTAAAAAAAACTATTTATATATGTCAAGAGAAGTACTTTTATATTCATTTCATTTTAATATTTTAGATTTTTTTTAATCTTGTTTGAAAACGTCGTAGTAGTGGTTAATCCTTCATAATCTGTTCCGGTTTTACACTTAGAGTGGTATAAAACGTTTTAAAGACTCAAAAGAAGTTTTTCCGCTACTTCATCTTTCGAACATTAACTGGAGAGATTACTAATCTACCATAATCGTTTCCTTTCCAGTAATCTTTTACCGTTATACCTATAAATAATCGGATTAAAACTTGCGAAGTATCTGACTATACTTATGTATGAAAATATAACGTACATAGCAAAAAGATGGCGTCGACTTAACCGACAAGATCTCGAGGTGATGGGTCGGGGACATGTTACAAAAAACAATTTACAATAATAATATAACATAATGAAATTATGAAACAAAACAAATCTATAATTAAAAATACATATCATCTTTTTAAAATTATTTGTTTGTAATATGAAAATGTAAACTAATTTTGACTATCAAGTGAAAAATTATTTAAACTCTCGTGAGACATTTTATTATTTTAATTAAATAACAGCTGATATTGAAATATTCGGTACCTACACAGACGAAACATGTGTTAAGTCTTTAATTACTTTTAATATAAACTCACATTTTAATCGTTTCTGATAGAGAATTTTAGGTATTTTTATATTTTAATAAGCTATATTTGATGTTGTTAATTCGGTATCTTTTATATGTTACACCAATTTTTACTTATAAAATCCTGTACATGGTCGTCAAAACCCAATGCCATTTGGCCAATAGTTTTTCCCGCGTAGGTCCTTTAGGTTTTATGCAAACCTATTTTAGTTAAATTAAAACTTAAAGAAGGTCTGGAACAACATCCAAACTTTCGCATTTATAATATTAGTAACATGTTAAGGTGGTAAGGTATTAGTAATATTAAAATCTGCAATAAAGACTTGTATGAAACATTGTGTGGTCGTTAACTGCATTGCGTCTCGTTAATGTTTCGTAATGTATTTTCGCCTCCCTCGACGAATGCGGCGTCGCCCTAGCAATCAACTCAAGTGCGACCTTCCGCTTACTATCCTTGCATCGCGTCTTCCCGCACTGCCTACAATCCTGATACATTATCATTCAATTGCCTTTGTTTAACCTCACGCATGAATATCCCAGGTCACACTTTATTTGTTACACATTCGCCTTTCAAATTTAGAAAGTCTCTTACTAAAAATATTGAGTACAATTGCAAAATAACACCAGACCAATTCTTACTTCTTCTACTTGCCTGGTTGATGTTCGAAAACGTGGGCTCTCGCGTTAATATGACGTAAATTGCGACTGCCATGCAATCCATGCGACGGTTAGGTACTTAGCACGTGTACTAGACATTCGATAATTAAAGCTACGGCAACTATTACGGAAAAATAAATTCTATTTTTATGATACGTCCAAACAAAAATTTAGCGCCCATGCCTGCTATTCTTGGAATGACACTTAAGGAAAGGAAGGAGCTGATTTGCATTTTTATGAATGAGGAGATGTAGGTGAAGTCATCTTGCCCCGAGTTGCTGTAATGCCTCGCTTTAATTTATTCAACGACAAAGTCATTTATACATTTAGTATTAAAGAAGCAGTTACGTATACTCACCGAATTCTATTGAACTCAGGAGATGTGTAAAATAATGTTTTTTTTATTAACAAAACAAATGTGAATAGGCAAAATTGAAAAGAATGGTATTACAATTATTTCTATTCATGTTCAAATTGTAGTAATGACAAGTAAGTAAATATTTTTTATCTACTTAAAGAAAATGCATTTCACCGTATAAAATGGCTGTACTTAGGAAATGAAAAGTATCAGTATTGGGTTTCAAAGGGCGCCAGTGGTATCGCATTTCACCCTTCACTATAAAAGCATAAGCTTCTCGAATTACTTGCATTCAGTGGTTTGTTGGCGTCAAAGCAACTTAAAAATGACCTCCAGTAACATTTAGTCTTTGCCGCAAACTCGTTTAAAGTAGGTCTTATTTTTATATCAGTCTTCGATAATAACTTGAGCGTAAAGTTGACCTTTAAAAGATATAAATAGATATTGAAGTTCCAACACTTTGAATTAAACTTATTTTTAATCTATCAAGTGTCAAGTTTTTTAGTGTGATATTTCTAGAACATATAAAGCTGATAATGGATTGTGATCGTCACAATTATAATCAACATCGCTTTTTGCAACTCTCTTCATAGTTATTTATTATCGTACGTAACAATGTGTTTTACACCTTAACATTAGCACAAAAACATAATGTGCCTCCATGAACAAACTGACATTACATTACAATATGTTTTGTGTAGATATTTCTAAGCTGGAAACTTAGCTTAGCTTTTATTACTCGAATATTGTGCAAGATTTTAATTAACATTTTCAGATTTCCAGCCCATGGTAGCCAACTTTATTTCTTGTATTGTCCCTTATTTGATAACTCTTCTGACCATTGTAAATATGATTCTAACCTGATTGTAGCAATAATCATATTTAAAGCGGTGATTAAAACTACTAGAAATATGATATAGGCAAGTTCTATTATAAGGGACGGGGAGCGGGGATTTTTGGATTTACTCGAACGTGGTAGAGGTTCATAAGGTCCCCACCTTATACCTAGCCAAGTAATCCTACCACAAATGAAAAGCTCCGTAAAGAGCCGCACTTTTAGGATAACCGGTCAAAGTACTGGGTAAAAAAATGGTTGTCATAGATGAAACGCGTCAGATTGAGACACGATGAGTTAATTATATATTATTGTGTTGTGTGCTTTGTAAAGACGTTGTTTGTTGCAGATATAAAGATGTTGTTGCGGCGGGTTGTGACAGCGCTGCTGGCGGTGGCGGCGGGCGCGGCGCTTTGCGGGCGTGCGGACGCGGCCAGTGTCGCCATGAAGTTGTGCGGACGCAAGCTCGGAGAAATCCTCAGCCGGGTGTGCAGCGCTTACAACAGCCCAGCCTGGGATGTACCTACAGGTGATATTCGTACTCAGTCTTCTATTAATCCATCTCGTCATTTTTCTTCGACTTTCCCTTGTTTTATCTTCTTTTTTTTAACTGTAACTCATATTTAGATTTAGAGCATTCATTTTAAATATATGAAAAAATTAAATGCTAAATATTATATATATATATATATCAATATATACTTATTTGATAAGTAACGTAATGCGTTAACGCAATACACACACTGAGACAATACACGTGTCTCACACAAAAACGACACATTCGTTGGCGATAAGTGACCTACGACGGTCATTCACATATACTTTTCACCCAAAACTATTTATATACCAAAACAAATAACATCACATTACCTTAGTTATCGTAAAAAAAACTCGAAATACTAAACTAGTCTCCAAAGTAAATAAAGCTTACAATTTAAAAAAAAATTGCTTTGCACAATAAAATAGCGGTTATAATAATTTAAGCCTTTATAAAAAAAGTTTAAGCTTGAAATATAACATAAGTATATTTTTTCTAGTTGCAGATACTAATAAAAAAAAATATATTTAGAGATTGAATTAGTTTGAGCAGTAATCCTGTAGTCCAATCAAATGGAAAATCAACGGATTCCATCTTGTGCCTTGAGCTCCCGTAGGTCTTCATTATATTATGTCTTCCCATAATATACTGTCGTACTTTTCTGCCTGAATTATTTGTCTAAAGCGAACGTATTCCATGAAGATGGGAACCGGGAACTAAAATGATTTGCGTTTACTTTCACTGGCAACATAAATTACTTCCTTGTTTTTAAAGTGAAAGCCGGGTCGTTTCAGAGAGGTAAACTATAATTATAGCTCTACAAATTACAAGTAACTGATACTCTGTAAATTATATGTATGGAGACTATAATTTAAATAACTCAAAGTATACTCACGAATTCGTACAAACAATATCATCTCTTATCCCACTCAAGTAGGGTTTGCGCAAGGTTTTCTTCATCCATCTCTTTTTAATCATGTCACCTTTCACGCAATCCATCCATCTTACTAGAATAATCTGGAAGTAAATCTGTTATGGTGTAGTATTTTGTTAATGAATAAATAAAATAAATAACAATGTCTTCTTAAGCATAACCCTACCGAGGTATCTTGTTCTACTTATATATAAGTTATTTTAGTTGAACAAAGGAATACTTAATATAAAAACACACTAGAATAATGCCAAAAACTAGTCAATCATTATCTTTAATCGTAGTTAAATTTGTTCTGAGATAACCTTTTGAAAATAAATGCTATAATCAAGGTTTAATCTATCTAGACGTAATTATAATCGCATCAGTGCCATCAAAGTTAATTTAATATTCCACTTTAATTAACTTAGTAATTACTCAACAGTCTTATGTTTATCATGTATCACAAAGAAATATAATAGTCTCCAGCATCCGCCTGTCAACATGACGTGCGTGACAATATCAACGATGTGTAGAAATCCATATCTCCATTGTTTAGTACAACATATAAAAAGTATGCTATCTCTTATCCAAGCTGGATAATAATGTTAAATGTTAATATAAATAGGTAAATATTTATTTTATTTTCTAGCAAAGTTGAATATAATTTAAAGATAATAGAACATGTAACGTGGACATGATTTTCCCTTAGTTCGCTTACAATTTTTATGTTATTATACAATTTAAAATTGTTAATTTGATAGAATTAGTATTTAAAAAACAAAACATAAATCTAGAAACCTTACTTTATGGTAGGTTCCTAAGCAATAATCGTGCTAAAAGTATAAGCATCATCAAAACTACAGACAAAATTAAGCGTCGTCTTTAAACTTTTAATAACGATTTTTGTCCACCCATATGTAAATTTCCAACATTGACAAAGCTTACGGTATTTAGATCTGATATCTATGATCAATTAAACATAGCATTACTCAGCTGAACAAACACACCTGCAGTGCAAGCTTTCTACAAAATTGTTACAATAAAACTAATGAAGAATTTCTCTCTGGTTATTTAGTAAATAATATCATTTTGTGCGTTTGAATAGAAAGCCACGGTATTTAATAAGTATATAAAACATGAGGAAGTAGATCGTGATTTGCTTGTTGTAAATATTTATCGGAGGCTATAAAAAAACAATCGCGACACCTTAGATGTCTGATCAAAACATAATGCAAACTTTGTACCTATTATATATAGCCAAAACAATGAGCCCTCAGCTTTATTTGTTTTGGCTATGTACGTCCTTTAAAGCTTAAGTGCTGATTTATTAAGTTTCTATCTAAATATTATTCGAAAAACAAATTATCAAATCCAAATAAATAAAAAATAATGCAGTTTAGGTTACATTATGTAATTGAAATTTTTAATTATAAATCTCGATATGTTCTTTACTTTTTTCGTCGATAAAATACGCGAAGTCTAAAGACCTTGCTCAATGTCACTTGCTTACTCATTCATGTTTTGTTTGAATAATTTAAAGTCATTAAAATATGGCACTAAATTATATGCTGTTCTGTTACAAATTACAACTCATACATACGTACAAATGTAGTTCGTTTTTATCGCAACATTCAGCGACCTCTTGAGTGTTTACATCTAATATAATCACAGGAAAACAGACGACTACTTAGGTGCACGTCCTCTTATTTAATATGACCCCTTCATTCTGTACTTATCGCTTCATCACGAAACTATTCCGTGGCCTGTACTAATGCTTGAAGGTCGTATTTAAAGGAAATATAAGCAAAATTTAATGAACACAAATAATAATAGTTTTTAGTCCTTTGCGGGAACTCTTGAATTACATATTCCGGAATTTAAAGATGACGTTTGTTAAAATCAAACTTGTTTATTTGTATCCTTGTAGATAAGATAAGAATTATACAACAAAATGATATAACTGGCATATTATAAGCCTATAGAATAAAGACGACATTTTATAAAATGAGTCCGTAATTCATAAATATTATTACGTGATTTTGGTCACTCGTCAAACTGCATGAAAATACACTTAACGACTGATCCATATCTTTCATATTCCGTAGTGTACTAAAGAGGTCAAGAGTGATCCTTCTTAATGTTTAGATGCGACATGAGTCAAGCGATGTACTCGTATCATGACGATCTAAGGTCAGGTACTGTCGGCTCTCTCGAGCTGCGGTAATAAAGTAATAAGATTATCTATTCTTAGACCCTTTGCTATTACATTGACCGACATATGTTTTGTCCGATACATTTTTACATGTTACTCAATGAGTTGTAATTTCATTGCCCTCAGTATAACAAAGTTTTATAAAACACATGTTATAGGACACCATGGAACTTGTGCCCTTATTATTTGAATTATTTAAATTTAAAGATTGCTTTTTGTTCTACAATCAACAATATATTAAATGTTGTTGATCAAAGTTTTGCTCCATATTCTTCAATACTCGACGTCGACGTATATAAATCTGTAACCTTGTTATTGTAAATTGTAAACAGTGTAATCTTTCTCGTGACTTTGTCGGTTACACCTATTTGCGTTTTAACGTATATCATATACGTTACAAAAGCTTCTACACCGTACTAGAAACACGAAGAACTTTTACAACTTCGGTGAGAGATTTTCATATCATCAGCACGTATTCTTTTAAAATATTTAGCACTTTATTATCATATTTACAATTATTATCTATGTGTGTACAAAGTTTTAAAAAATAAATATAATGTAAAGTGTACTAGCTATCCCGCGACATGGTCCACGTGAAAAGTTGTATTCTGGTAGGATTTTTAATTATTTAGGTTAATAACAACAAAAACAAAAAAATATTCACTTAAACCTTACATATACCTATTGTTCTTTTACACCATTGAAGATAAAACTTTTACAAAGTTTAAATATATATAATATAAGAAATAAGAGCCTAAAAAAAGGTTTCGTAATTTTTACAGTTTAGGAGACTAGCTGTAAAAATAATACTTCCATACAACATTTTTCCACACAAAAAATTGTGATATTATGTGTTAATATAACTGTTAGAGGGTAACTTATACAAACACATTTTACCTACAACATTGCATTATTAAATTGCTAGTAACTATTCTGTTATCTTGCAATTTCAACTTGCTCACTTCTAGTATCTTGACTCCAAAGCGATACAATTAGCTTCTCATAAGCAAATTGATAAGCTGACAAGCTTCTATAATGATAACATTGTCGCAGACAAATGCTAAGGGCCTCTTAATTATTTGTACATACTACGAAATATACTATTAACTAGTTGAATTCTATCTGTTATAATATTATAACATAAATACCAACTCTAAAATTAAAATATATAGCTGACAACATTGTGCGAATTATGACATAAAATAATATAAAAATCTTACTAATATTTCGAATTGGAATTTTTATTACTAACAACTAAAATGATCTTAATCAAATTTGGAACGTACATTCTAGTCTATATAGCGTATTTGTTTTTTTTATAATATATTTGCGAAATATCCAACTTATTATTTTTAATATTTGTTTGTTTTATTTTATTTAAAAAAATCAGCAAAAAAAACTTTTGAATACATAAATCGTTGTAGTGTATCAACTCGTAGAGGTCAAAGTACATCTACGAGTTGATCAAGAAGTCATAGAGGTGTGATTTAAGGACAGATTAAAAATAAAAGAATTGACATTTGCAGTGGTCGAGCAGACGGCGGGTGTGGTGAGGCGACGGCGGGAAACCGGTATCGTATACGAATGCTGCACGCAGGGCTGTACTTTGGAACATCTCACGGAATACTGCGCTACTACCATTAAAGCCACGTAAGTATTCTACATACAAACTCGCTAATATTGAGTGGCTAAGTGGTAAAGTCAACATTAAATTGCTACTCAATTCGTTTAAAAACGACCAAAAAATATTTTCGAGCTACGAGATAAAATATTTCGAGATTTTTTTTAGATAGGTCGCATATTTTATAATATTTCACATTCTCCCAGTTGTTTGTTTTTTTTTTTAATTACTCCAATCTTAAATCCGTTTGCTAATAAAAAATTGACGAAAACAGAGAAGTGTTGATAAGTGGTTGACACGAGCGGGATAGCGGCCAAAGGTTGACCTTACAGAAGTTGTGTCCCATAAAGATTAAAAGCAATTATAAACACTGGCTGAGAATAAAAGTATTTTTTAATTGTTTGATAATAACAGCCAATTATTGATAGACCACTATAAATATCAAATACAAATAATTTTTCCTTGCTTTGTTTTCGACCGACTGACTAAACTGTAATGTTTTAATAGGTACTCCTACCTATTGCTTTGTAACCGTAGGTGGCTTAAACTACTACTACGAGGTAGATTTTATAATGTAATACTACTCAATTCGTTTAAAAACGACCAAAAAATATTTTCGAGCTACGAGATAAAATATTTCGAGATTTTTTTTAGATAGGTCGCATATTTTATAATATTTCACATTCTCCCAGTTGTTTGTTTTTTTTTTTTAATTACTCCAATCTTAAATCCGTTTGCTAATAAAAAATTGACGAAAACAGAGAAGTGTTGATAAGTGGTTGACACGAGCGGGATAGCGGCCAAAGGTTGACCTTACAGAAGTTGTGTCCCATAAAGATTAAAAGCAATTATAAACACTGGCTGAGAATAAAAGTATTTTTTAATTGTTTGATAATAACAGCCAATTATTGATAGACCACTATAAATATCAAATACAAATAATTTTTCCTTGCTTTGTTTTCGACCGACTGACTAAACTGTAATGTTTTAATAGGTACTCCTACCTATTGCTTTGTAACCGTAGGTGGCTTAAACTACTACTACGAGGTAGATTTTATAATGTAATCCGTGTTCCGCAATTAGAAGCCTATCTATTTGTTTGTATTATTTTCCTATATTCATCGAAGAATGCAACTGAGGCGGTGATTAATATTTTTTTATTTTATCTTCAGTTCAGAAACCTCGGTGGACTCGCATATGATTGAGGACCGTTCCGCGGAGTCGACAGGCTCGGGGTCGACCGGGGCTGCGGGGGCTGCAGGGATGGCGACAGCGGCGCGCGCGCCGGCGGCGGTAGGCAGCGATGTGTACGCGGGTCCGCGCGAGGTGGGGCGCGCTGCGAGCGGGTACGGGCGCGCGGGCTGGCGCCGCCGATGTCGGTGCCGCGGCCGACGCTCACGCCGGCGGCGCCCAACCCTCATGGGTAACATGGTGTGTCTCACGTACGCCACCATCTTGTTCTCTACCAGCTCACTAGCTGCTGCTCAATATTAAAGCCAACTTGAAAAACAATGACACACAGCAGCATTGAATAAAGGGGTATAACCGATGTATTTAGATGATCTCTTACTATCTTATCTTTTTAAACGAGAAGAAAAAAATAATTTTAAAAATAATTTCTGTCAAGCATGCAAACTTTGTTACCTTATTTTAGTAGGTTGCATTAACATTGGGTAAAATATTTATCTGCCAAAATTCAATAATGCATGATTTACATTATTATATCGACATCATTACTTAAGTTGGCTTTTTTAGCGAGAATAAAAATATTGACATTATGGAATACAAATATTTTCAGATAGAGCAATTAGTAGAGATTCGAGACTTAAGTATGAAAAATTAGAATTTTCAATTGAAGATAAAAAATTGGTATAAAGAGAACAAGAGAGTGGTAACTAACCCTCATACTAATGCTTTTCGCATGCGTACTAAATTGTTTCATGTAACACTCTTCACTCACTTGCATGCATAAGATATACTGCAATTGAAAAATTATTATATGTATTCTATTTCTACGTTACAATTATTACGTGACAATCAAACAAGGGACACGCTTATGGTAACCTCTATTGATTTATGTATTATTTTTAAGAAACTTAGCTTCAACCCGTCACTTAAATTTATTTAAACATATTTTACGACTTTGCTTTGTAACAAAAAACTTTTCCCACTGATACATCTGCCATGTTAATTATACTTACTAATGACTGATTACGTGTCCGTTACAATTGCTATACTGAAAACTATAACTCTTCTGGAGCAACTAAATTTATAGAAAATGTTTTTCTTTTCTCAGCAGCACATCATAAAAAGTGCAGCGCGCGCTGCGCCCGTGGTGGGCACCGTATCACCCCTGCTGACTTGGGGCAGAACCCTAAACACTGACTTGCCAACGGTCGACAATGACCGCTACGCGTATGTTATATATGCGTAAATAAGATAATATTCGGACAAGATAAATATCCACAGAACGTATGCAAATTGAAGTGGGTACTTTGAAGAAGTTTGTGACGTCTCGAACAAGAGAATATAAAAAGATAAAGTGATGAGATTCAGTTATCGTCCAAGCGTTTAATATTTAAGTGTGCATTTATGTTGATGTTGTAATCTGTTTGTGAGTATATTTGTTAGAATTAACTTCATGATAATCTCATGTACCTACAACTAATGATGTTTTGGAAATGCTTCTAACTGCTGTATGATTGCCTTTGGAATTTTAAACTTTTTGTGAATCTGTATCATGATACTGCAGCTAGTCAGAGAGCGGAGCAGAAACAAATTATAGTAAAATAACCTCGATTTAATTTAATACAAAAATTAAGGCCCTTATTTAATATTTTATCAAGATGCACCTGTATAAAGGTTTTTGTTCAAGTTTGTTTTCAGTGAAAACACAAGGTCTAAAGACTACTTTGATCTAATGGATATTTTGATATCCCCTCATAAAATGTATTAAATTCGAATATACGAAAGTAACTATTTCTTAGCTATGTCATAACAAGCTTTTACATATCTTGTATCATAATTTAATCATTTATATTTATTTATTTATCTGATATGTCGTTTAAGACATTTGCTATGTCATAATATATTCTCTATAATGAACTCCAACATATTAACGAAATAACTTTAGTTCATTTATATTATTTTATATCAAACATCGTTATAGAAATGTTTATTATATTTAGTACAAATTGTATTGTTCTGAAAAATTTCAAAGATTATAGGAAATAATTTGGTACAATCAGTCGAGCAACTTATAAACCGTAAGTTTCTGACACCAAAATCTCTATAAAAATGTATCATCATCTCTGCTTTTCATATTTGATAAAACAGAGATAACAATATACGTAAGTAAGATATATTTCATTTCAATCGAGCGCTTAAATTAAGTACAGGAATTCCAAATTGCGCTGATTGTTTTTTTTAATAATTTTTGAAATCACGTGTAATAATTTTAAATCGAGAATTTGAACAAAAAAATGTGCAGTTTGATCAAGTATAGAGTATATCGTCGTTGGGTTGAAATGAAATATAATTAAATTTTAACCGTAAGATATGGCCTACATGTAACGCTTTACACTATAATAGTAAGGTATTTACATAAGTAATAAGTTTTTTTGTGTTAATGTAACATCTACCATATAAGATTTAAAGATCTCTTAAGCATCTGTGATAAATCCAATTGATTAAAACATTAACTTATAAACTATTTTAGTAATACCACAATTAGAATAAAGTATTTCCTTGCCATGTTAAAAACTTTCTTATAAATAAGTTAAACTAGGAAAAAGTGACTGAATTAATGGATGCTGTATTAAATCTTTCATTTCTTTCTTTTTTTGTTTTATTTAGGTTTACCTCGGTACGCGGACAAAGGAGGAAATAAAAATGAGGTTGTCTTCCTAGAAAATTTCACCTTTGAAGTTCAACAACGCTCTTGACTTAAAAAAAAGAACTAAGTTTAATTCGTTTTGGTATTGGAAAACTGGATAGCTGCTATTACGACGTAACCTAATCTTTACAATTAGTAAAAAAAATAAAAAATCCGACTCTCTTGGTAGCGCCATCTATTGCCTGTTTTTTGTAACAGAGATTCCGATTTTTTTTAAACAGATATGGGACTTTATTACTCTCTATAAATTCTCAAAACTTGAGGAATTCACATAAAACTTATTTTTATAGTTGCGAAAACATTACTCTTTTATCAGTTAAGTAAATTATGATGGGATTTCTTCTTGATAATGCTTTAATGACCATTGCAATATGTTTCAGTGTTAAAATAATTTATTTACATAATTACAAATAAGTACACAATTAACATTTCAACTTAAAATAAATTAACATTCCTCACATGATTTAAGTTCATTTTTTACACTGTCTTGTTTAGATGATTTAAAAAAATATTTGTTGTATAAAAAATATTTAACTAATAAAATGCTTATAATGACAACGGCTAGTCACAGTGGGCCTTTTTCATCACCTTTATTTTCAGAGTTCTGGTTGGAGTCATCATTCCCAACTTGGGATGATTTATCTCTCACTGGTATCAACTGAAATCTCAAAGTATTCCCTTTGTTCCTTTTTTGAACAATTTTGCCCGATGATTTTGTGTTCTTTTCAATGACAGAACATATTTTATCCTGAAAAAATAATTTAAATTTAAAAAAAAAATCAGTGACATTGTATTATTTACTAAAAATCCAATATGATGTTAAAATAAACATCAGCTTTAATTTTACTTAAATATTCAAATATAATATGTGCTGTTGATTTCAATTTATCTTTTTGTTTTTAAATGAAGTGATTTGAGTACTGCTTTATAATGTGCACTTCTAAGGATCAGAACAGATATTTTTTCAATAGATTTTTATGAATGATTGAATTAGCTATATTTTGTAAAAGTGTCATTGCATACCAGACTTTCCAAAGCTTCACTGTCAGGCCCAGTCACAACAACCTTTACTTCAAATTGCTTGTCTAAGAGTTTTATCATTTTCTTCACACTTGTCATGAGGTCATTTTCTGCAATTCTATTTGTTAATGTGATTAATTTTTGCCCCTTTATAAGTTGACTTTCTTTTGAAATCTTCTTTTCTTTTCTCTTTGCAATTTCTTCTTCTAGATATTGAGCACTTGTTAACAGCCTGTAAATAGAGTAAATTCTGATTTGAAAATCAAATTATCATCAGCGAGACTGATAGAAAAAAAAATATTGAGATAAGCTAGTTATATAGTGAATTTATTAGGTACATACTTATAAACAGGACGCCTAGTTTTTGTGTCGATATCTTGTATTTTAACTAGTTTTAAATCTCGCCTAACAGATAAACTCTGTGCGCTCTTTAGATCTGTGATACTAACAGAGTTATCAGATCCGATTAAAGTTATCCTACTCTCAAAGTTCTTCTTCTTTGGTACATCTTTTCCTTCTGCTGTTATTTTCATGGATACAAATCTATTGTGATCCACTAAACGTCGGAAATTGCTTAAAGCAAAAATTCTATTCATTTTGTAAAAATATCTTTAACTATTAATAGCAATAACACAAATTAAACAATACGTATAGTTTGAAGAGAATTCTACACCGAACACCAACTAGATTTTTAAAAACATATCAAATAATACTTGAGGTATATATGAATACGATTTTCTTATACTGTTATGTATTGATTTGAAGTATTATATTGATAAGTTGTCAAAGTCAAATCAAAATTTAATTGATAATTTAACTGTCACTGTCAAAGAAACGTTCTTTTTTTTTAATTTTACGACCTGGTAACATGAACCTTTAGGTCAATAAGAACATTCAACGACGTTGGACCAAAGAGTAGCTCCCAATAATAAGTCCCATTCGCGGTGAATTTTCCGTAAGTTATTATCTAACCACTAACTTGCCTATCAAACAAGAAACACAACGAATGATTCTTGTGATATCTGTATGGCGATCTTGGAAAACTATTTTTGCTGAACATTGAATTTTTTAAACATCTACCACACTGCCTCTACCAGTATTTTCGTTTTGATTTTCTGTCTCAAGCATAGACAGAGATTATCTACTCTTTGAGAATTCACCACCATAGCCAATAGCTCGAAACTTCACTTCTCTTTTTGTTTTGACACTCAGAGACGGCGCAATGGTAAATTTAATTTTAACTAAATCTTTAGTTATTTAATGAATCGTTTACAATTTATAGTTATAGATATAAAATATTGGTTTTATTTTTTTTCAGTCCGCTCACAAAACATTTATTATTAAGCGCAAGCTTGCTAAAAAACTCAAACAGAACAGACCAATTCCGCAATGGGTTAGAATGCGCACTGGAAATACAATCCGGTAAGTAGTAATTTAATAACGTGTTGGAAAAGTGTAATTATAGATGTAGATTTAGTACAATCAAAATTATTGCATTGCATTGGATCCAGCTTTGTTTCTTTCAATCAATCTAAATGTCATGACTTGTTTTGAAACATGACTGTAGGGTTCTGTTTGTATAAGTAAGTGGTTTAAATATAGTTCTATAATAGCATTCTGAGTTTATAAACAAGTAAGAAAGTGCTATTCAAAGTTTGTTTCGATTAATTAGGAATGTCAACAGAAACTTTAGCATCCAAATTGTTCCCAAATCACTGCTATTAATCAAGATTTCTAAAAGGATATTTAAAGAATGTGGTAAAATCTTACTAATTATTCTTTTAGTCTGTTTTAACTCTGAACAGTGTAAAGAAAAGACATCTATGTCCAATAGTATTTTCCATGAATCATTTATTATCATTTCTCTGTAACTATGAAAGTTAAAGCCTATAGTAACATATTAAATCACACTGGAAGAAACTGAACCAGTCCAGAGTTATACTTTAAGAGAAGAAATTTGAGCTTAAAAAATAATAACTTATGCAAATATTCAGTTTGTAGTTTGACATTAATTCCTTTTTACTTTGCAATGTCGGAGACACCCAATCTATTTCCTTTGAGTTGTAGAAGGAAAATATACATTATGTTTTAGTATTTTGCATTAAAATTATTAATTTAATATTTATGGTATCAAGCAATTTTCTATTGGCTTACAATTACAGCTGCCGAGAGTTTCACAAGAAATTTGTAGCAGCTTTGGATATGTTGAGGCTGAAGCTATCGTTATCATTAACCAGCACTTGTCTAAAAAAATTTTTGGAATCTAAAAATGTAGCCTTATGTGTTTCATCCAGGGACAGTGCAGCTTTTCAACAGTGAAATAATTTTTCAAATGAGTTCAGTAGTTTTGGTACCTATTCAATGCTAATAATCAAATCTGTCCTCTGTAAAATACTAGTATAGATTAGTTCCAGTAACCAAGCAAAAAGAAATACTAATTGTGTTTTGAGAACAAAAATATTTTAAATAGACAATTAAAACACATATTTGTTAAGTGTGCGATGGGTGACATTCATGAAATTATACCAATCCCACTCCCCCTGATGAAGAGCTCCTGGTGGGCTCTAGTTGGTGTGACACAAGACAAAATGTATGCGAGTGTTTTAGCTGTTAAATATTAGCGTATGATAATGTTTTAGAAAGGTTTGCATAATATTTTAGATGTTTACAATAGCAGATACAATGAATATTTTCTTCAATTTCAGGTACAACGCTAAGAGGCGTCACTGGAGAAGGACTAAGTTGAAGCTGTAAGCTGTTACCTTGTACATGTTAAGCTTAATAAAGTCCTAAAAATCTCTCAACATTTCTTTTATTGTACTTCTTAACTCAAACTAGTTATATTTTAGGTATAGTTAAATTAATAAGGTAGATTATAAGAATTTGATTTCATATTTGACAAATTAAATTTAGAATCTCATTCTGTTTCAGTTCATTATTTTTGTTTTTTATCTATTTATATAAAAAAGTGTTACACTATTTATAACTCAAGAATGGCTTTACCGATATGGCTAAAAATTGGTGAGGAGGTAGCTTAGAGCTAGGAGATGGACATAGGATATTGTTTATTCATTTTTTTATTTTTTTTTTTAGAATTTATGCCTTGGAGAGCTGCTTTTTATTTAACTTACTAATATTATATAAACGATGTTTAGATGGATGTGACGTGGATGGATGGATGGGTGTTTGAAGATATCTCTAGAACGGATCTCGATTAAATTTGGCATACATATAGGCTACACTAATTACGTTTTTTTGTAAATCCGCGCGGGCGACAGCTAGTTTTTTAATATACATATGTCATAGGATAAATTGCAAAAACAGCAGAATTTATCAAAAAAAATGAAACAACACACAAACAGTACAATTCTTTATTACCCAGGTTTCATTATCTATGTACACAATACTCTTATAAATTAATAACACATGGTTCGTCGATGTTAGCTTAAAGCAATACATACAATAGTAAAGTATCACATTTTATAATACTGACTCAAAACTCATTCCAATCAAATATATACTGTCAAGATGTCTCTTCTTTGGAATCCTGTTCCGATTTTTCTTTTTTCAATGCTTCAGACTGCATCAGTAATTCTTCTAATAAAAGCACATTGTCTATTAATTCTTGACTGCCTGTTGGCTGGAAAATAAACACATAATATTTGATATTACATATGTAATTTTCTACAATTTTTTTTAAAAATGTTATTACGAACTAATGTCGAAAACACACCGGTAAATGAATAGGAAATTAATGCAAATACCTGTTGTGCGCTAACAGACCGAGCCATCAATTTCTGTCGGTACTTCTCTTTCCTCTCTTGTTCACGTACGCTGCGCAGCCGGTCGAAATCGTCGATGTCATCGTCGTCTCCATCCACACCGTCTACGTCATCCACTGGAATAAACACTGGCTTTAACATGTTCAATGCCGACTGAAGCCCTACGTGTTTACTTTAATGAGTAACAATCATAGTCGCCCTGAACGTTTTAATAATATGATGTGTGAAAGTGTCTTACTTATGGTCTGGCTGCCGGCTGCGCTTAGCGAGGGCCCGACATCGCTGTCGAGGCGAGGCCGCTCGAGCCCTGGGAATGAGTCCTGTGCACGCAGGGACTTTGCAGCCGGACTCGTGTCTCCTCTTCCTTCTAGCACGGCGCTCGCCGCGCGCGCCCATTGCGACGGTGCGGACGACGATAGACGAGTCGCTGTTTTAATGGGAAACATAATAATCGATAAACCATCCATCTTAACGGTCAATAAAGCATATACAACGTCTCATGTGACTTCATGTATTGAAGCGGTTTTGCGGTGGCCATTTAATTTATCCCGCAACATAAAAAAAAAGTCGTTAATTTATTTTAATTGTGAATATACAAAATCATTCAGCTAACGTTTTAAATAAAAGTCGTATTGTAATTGCATAAAATACAAAATAATATTTTTATCTTCATCGCAGTTATACGCGGTGATCGATCTGAGGATCAAGAACAAATGATATCGCTCAAATTTAGATTAGATCCCGGAAATACCTACTTTAGATAAACAAATATATTTGAAGTTTAGAGGTTTTTTGCTATAAAAGAAACCGGACACCGAAAATTACATTGTTTACGGTAACATACTGGTTTAAGCGTCATTGACCATATTGTTGTTCTTACATAAATGAAAAGACAGTTCAGATCTTAAGACAATGCAGATTGTGATAAAAAGTACGATTGAGGGGCGATATAACGTCAAATGTAATCTTATCATGTTGTTCTCGTTGATTAACAATTCAAACAGTTTCCACTTGATATATTATAATGTAAAAGAAATAAATATAATTGCAAAAATACCTCATATAGAAGGGAAAATCGTAGAGCACTACCTCAAATTACCAGATTTTAAAGTATATGGAACGAACCAAGCCCAAACCCCAGTTTACTTACATCAACGTGCCTTAATAATACTTAATATTAAAAATAAAACTTACTAGAATTATGATTGGAGTTTCTCGTCGGAACATTAACTGGATCGCTCGCGTTCGGTGGCCCTTGCGCGAACAAACTCATCGCAGTCGGCCTGAAAATACGATATTATTACATTTAGTTTCAATTTTAAATTAGGTGAATAATTGTTCTGGACATCATGCAGTAACGATGCCGGTCTTTTAAAAAAGGATAGAAGACAGATCTTCTATTTTATAATTGAAAATGAAGTCTATTCTCTGCCCTAAGTATTTCTTGGTAACTGACCTGTTCTCCTGCCGCTTGCCCATGCTGGTAATGGTAGCCTGCTCATCCACCTCCTCGATGACCTCGTTTGCGATCTTCATACTGCCTGCTGCGGTCGCCGCCGGTTTGTTCAATGTCGGATTACTCGCTGATATAACGAAACGAGTGCCTCCTGAAGCTATTGTAGAAACATTTATGGTACATATTAAATATTTTTATTTCTGTGCATAGATGAGACCATCCATTAAAAGACCTCTCGACTTTTTTGATTTTGGTTCCTAGTATGCACTATGCTATCAAAAGAACGTAGATTATAAATATTGTAACGCAAGTAAAAAATCAAAGCTACGAAATATTTACAAAGCACGGCAGTCATAAACCTGAACACCATAAATGTAATGAGTTCGATGAACTCACGCTATGCTTTAGTCGCCATTGCAAAGTTAATAAAAATAGCAAATTCCTTATTAATATGGCGTTCATGGGCGCCATTTCTGTCTTACGTTCGTCGTAAAATGCCGTTAGATCGTATTGTTTAAAAATGAGCGAGTATATTTTAGAAATCATATAAAATAAGTCCCTTGAAACGCGGCTGTAACAGACAGTAAATTGAAAGAGACATCTACATCATAAAATCTTCGTTATAGTGTGCTAGGTGCGTATAATGCTATACTAGTTGAGGTTGTGATATTGTAGATTATTAGTAGTCTTATAAACATCTTTAAAGTTTAATTGTTACTTCAAAAATAATTACCGTAAAACAGTTGCTTACCTCCATCAGTTTGAGTATTAACGGGCGCAGAGGGTTGTCTCTGATCTTCCTTCGAGAACAATCTCTTCAACATGGAGGTGACAGAATTAGCGCGCGTCATTGGAGTTTGTTGTAGCGACGCCATCGAATTACTCGACCCCATGGAGTTCCTGTCCTCTTTTTTCCCGCGCTTACTGCCTCTTGACACGATGAAATGAATGCCCGATACCGCGTCGTCGTTCATTTGTAATTGCTGCGATGGGAAAAACAATATTTTCATAAACTAGAATAAGATATTTTGTTTTACTTTCACAAATATTTACATTACAATATAATCTAGAAACGCCAGTGAGAAAAGATAACGTTAACGAATCGTTATTGAGAGATGTTTTTAATTAAAGTTTTTCTCTTGCAAGCAAATATTACTGTCCACTTTTCACTTCTCTTTTGTTTACACAAAAAAACTTCATGATTGTTTATAAAATCGGGAATAATTATACGTTTTTCGATGATGATTTTTAAATAAAAAGTTGTAAGTAGTAGTAAAGATTAACTAATAGACGGTTACCAAAGTATTCAACAATCACAAAAACGAAGAGCGTTATTTACAGCACGAAAACCATTTTAACAATCAAATACAACAAATACTTATTTAGTCACATACAAATATTAGTATAATTTTAACGTTTAGAACAAACAAATAAGATTTTTAAAATAAATGAAATTTTTATAGAGAAAGATATAGAAAAGTATTTATGAAGCTAAAAAAAATGTCGAGTTAGTTCGTTGTTATAATAAATAATTATAAATTTTGTTAAAACATGCGTCAGCCAGTTAGTATATTCTACTAGAAAACTTTTTTATAAGAATATTTTATATATGCAGCAGAATTAAATAAAAAGTAGGTAAATATTTAGTAAATGAAACGTAAAAGATATTTGTAGTTCCGATAAATATAGCCGCAATAGTTTATTGTATGATCCTTTTGTCCTTAATATCAAATATCTATATCTTCAAATGCTATGTCTGGATTTACAAAAGTAAATAAGGGACGATTTCATACTTTTATTTTGTTTTGAACTTGATGAAAGAATTAGGGCTAAAATAAAAATAATCTCCCAAGGTAAGATTAAAAACGATAAACCTACTTCCTGTAACGATAAGCACAGATTATCTATAATCCAGATATTATTAGATAAACTGCATTTGATATTTGTAATTTATAATTATACTTTGAACTGATAAGGTGTATAGAGTCGGCGAATCATAAGAATTCTTTATTATTATAATTATTTGTTTGAGACCGGCATCGACAACTAAAACATATCCTAGTACGCGTAAATGTAGAGTGATGCAAGATATTTCAAACTTGTTTTGAGACACCTGAAAGGTAATTTAGAGCTGAAGATATAGGATAGATGAACGAATATTGAATACATTACAATACAAAAATTCCTTAACCGTAGTCACCCGATCACCAGGCGTGGTAGTCACGTGAGGTAGTGACAGATGACGTCATTGGCAACCCTGCACACCGCAACACTGCGAAGCTCCATACAGCCGTGCAGCATGCTTTAAATATGGTCAAATCTAACCTCGGCCGGGGCGAACTTGTAACTCACGGTGTTGGAGGGGACCATTTCCTCGATCTTGACGGAAGATGGGGCGACAGTGACCATGCTACGTTGGCGCGCTGGGACTGCGACGCGCGCTGTCGAAGGTTCGGGATGCTCCTCCCTCTGGTTCTCAGTGGCGATGGTGTACGGCAGCTCGGCGGGGAACACCTCGTCCCAGTACTGATCCTTGATCAGCTCCGGATGCTCGTGATGCATTTCGTCGACTATCATGTATGAAACCTAAAAATAATCAAAGAAGTCCAGTTAGTGGACGTTACGTCTTTTTTAATCGATTGTTACATGTTCATTCTTACTATAAGGAAATATATTTGTACCCTTTAAAAGACGATCCTTGTATCTTTAATAAGTAACGGTATGAAATGGGACAATTATCTTTCTAAAAATATTTAGCGTACTTTAGCTATCTCAAATTTTATAATTAGAAAGTACCAGGAATACGTATTCCGTTTAAAACGATACATCAAAGGGGACATTCGTAGAATGTGTGCATAGCATGCTGCTCAGTCATTAATGCCATTGGTTAAAGACATGCTAAGGTCAGTGCTGAAAGAGAATTATTGTAATTTGCAGGAAACGTCACCTCATTTGGTAACAGACTTAATTCCAGATAGAGAGCTAATCAATGATTACTAAGCGGAAATTGACTTTGAAAATACAACGGTTTAAGGCCATTCAAAGCTGGGAAACTAACTTGATACATCATGGTGTGAAAAAAAAGGCTAACCTAGCCCTGATAATAAAAGCAATTTGTAGATACCAATTCAAGATATAAAATTGAAATGAACTGAAAATTTCAGCCATAAAGAGCAAATTCACATTTCATATTTTTATTATACTGCAAAGGTAGCGTTTTATAATTGTTTTGGATAGTATCCAATTGCAATTATTTTATGCTAAAACATATTTTGCACAGTCAAATTACAAACTGAGAATGATGAATCCAATTGTTCTGTATTCGTTATTTTATTACGTTACCAATTACTATTGCAAATTTTCGTATGAACGTATATTCCATTATTTTTAATAAAACATTAATCTTTGCATATCAAACATCAAATATAGTCAATAAATTTTGTAGGATAAGAAAGATAAGAAATTAAAATAAAAAGTTGAAACCTGACTAACAATCAAACGCTTAAACAATTCTATGATATTGTTTTAACAGATAATGTTAACGTGTTCAATTAAAAGTGAATTAAATTTTCTGTATCACTTAAATGCTATATTTAAAAAGTAATTTGAGAGAATATCAACTAGTTACAACTCGTTAATCAACTGCTTTCTGTGCATACTTTGCCAAGCTATTATTAGTAATCGAAATCTATTTTTCTAGGAAAATACCATAGGAACTGTTCCTATCGCTACGTACGCATTAAGTTAAAAATGTAATGATTTATTGCGGCATAATATGTTTACATACCTGAGAAAAGACTAAACAAATTACGTCTTAACAACAAATGCTACTGTGAAATCCCAAAAACCTCTATTTATTTTCTCTGTTATATTGTAATCTTTTTTTTTCTAGGACATTTTTTAAAGAAACATCTCATCTTCAATGTTTTTTTACATGTTTCGACAGTGAATATTTAAGTATCACAAACCTGCAAGTCTCTGTCAATCAGCCAGTTAACTTCGAAGTCGTCATCATCTTCCCCAAAAGGATTGATCAATGACTCTGCCACTTTCAGCCAGCCCATGTAGAAGAAGAACTCTAGTGTCGTAAATATTGGGAAGTAAAGATCTATATTGCTGATGTAGACATCGCTGTGAGCTGATTGCAATTTGTTGTCCACCCATTGGCTGCCGAGCGCAGACGTTATGAAGTACGAGTACACGGCTATCGTTACCACCTGAAATAAACTTTTGCTTTAGTATTTTAACGCGAGATATACTGAAGTCAAAACTCTACAGACACCTATAACACTGAATAATAATAAAATAGATTGTATTCCACTACTAAGGAGTCTTGAGGTTGAATGAAGTTAGTAGAAGCTTTACAATGTATGTCACAATTCCGACAATTCGGTGCCATGTCGACGACCGTCTGGCGCTCCCGACAAATATACTTTGTACTACACGAGTGATTTAATTTCAAGTTATTTTTTATTAACATTTATTAATTTTTACTTTTAAAGTAGTAAGCTTCGTAACCAACCTTCGACGGACCTGCACATATTTCACCGGGCAACAATAATAAACACGTTAAAATGTCATTGACCCGTTCTATATTGGCGTTTTCAGAAACTAACAAGCACTAACTTCGTTTGTGTAAATTATGTATATTTGCCATTACCATGTCTATACGATTTGTAATATATTTTCTCTAATTGACGAACATATCAAGAAGAACTGTTTCACCTAACAGGACAACGACTCTCGCTTATAGAAGTCTCACTTGTCCAGATTCGACTTTAATCATCTCCCTCACTCTCTTTAATTAAACAGAGATCACAATACAGTATTTCGCCTGTGAAAACTCACGGATATTGCGTGACATTCGGGTTATCAAAATAAGAACTATGGATGAATAAAATTAATACTATAAATACTCGTATTCAATGTTAGACGATATTTCACAAGAAGGAAATTAAACCACAACTAATTTTATAACAGCAGAAACCTACAAAGTTCCAAATTGTATTATACGAAAACAAGAAATATTTACAGTTAACGAATGAGAAATAAATATACCTACGTATTCATACCACAAACTTGAAATAATAACTTCTAAATAGTTATTAATCCATGCTTTAATTCGGCACTTTAAATTATAGATAAGATATATTGCTATTGATTACCATAGATCGTCTCAGTTTTAAGCAAGTTCGTTTGCCCCTATTCTTATAAAAAAATAAGCAAAAACAATTCAAGGTCGATCATTGGGTTCGGCTGTTAATTGATACTATATTAGTACATTACCTGAGTGTACACTAAAGGCACACTGATGGTGTCATAGCTGAGCAACAGCCCTGCCTGTCCTCGGAACTTGTTCAGCTCGTCAATTATTGTCTTCACAGCAAAGTCGTCTCTTATTCGGCCCTCCTTGCGGGCTCTCGTCACTATACTTGTAGCCCATACAATGGGTAACCTAATAATATGTAATTTAATTTAATTCTACCTACTACTACCTAGTAGTGTAATTCACTATAAAATAATTAAGCAACTTTATTTTAATAGAAGTTTATCTAATGATTTAAGTAATCAGTACATTATAACGAAATCAATAAATATTTAAATCGGTAATAAGAAACATACCAATGTTTTGAAGGCTTTGGAAATTTGCTATTTAGGTTGTCGAGTATCGTCTTTTCGTTGTCCAGTAAGAGACCAGCTTCGACCAAGTTGTTTAACGTTGGGAAACGTTTCTTGACGCGAGGTGAGATCATAGTTAGTACCATAGTTAGACAGAGGCACACGTAGCGTACAATTGTACGTCGCATCAGACGCCCACGTTCATCCTGACAATAAAACGTTACTTTTTTACATGCTATAAGTATTCCTTACGTTATACCACACACAAGATATATATCAACGTAAGAAGTTATGTCATGCTGAACGGCCTACAACAAGACCAGATACCCCATTCTATTATTTAATTTATATTGATTATTTCTCCACCGCTTAACTTCGGCAAAGTATCCTCAAAAACTATACCTCAAGAAAAGGTAACAGTGGTCATACAGAATGATTAATAATTTTAAATTGCTTTAAACTATAAATATTCAACATACAGCCAACGCATCGATAAAGAAAAGTCAGCCTTCATAAAGACGAGTGAAATTTAACAGTAATATTCGCAACGGGCATATTAAATAATGATATTGGTAAAATATTCATGGTTACCGCTTTATTCGATACTAATATAGATTTCAAATATATACTTATTTAGAATATGTTATTTATATGCAAACTTACATTTTCAAGCTATCACAATTATTACCTTAATTATTTGACTAAAACCTACTTTACATCAACGGTCATTTTTTTAATTATTCTTTCATAGCAATAGCATGCATTTCTACATTATTTACTTCGATGGGTGACGCTATTAGGATATCCGATAACCCCGAAAAATGGGGCATTCCGTCTTAGTCAGCACTTCGGCATGTTCTTACATTACACAAGAACACTGTTTTTATTTCAACATACCAATATTTAACTTCAAATCTGTAAGCGGAACTGTGTGCTAATTCTGACCAATAAAATAACAACTATATATAACTAATCACGCTGTACATTTTCAAACAAGCATCATGTAATAAACTTTTTCAATAGATTATATTGAGTACGTAATCTATGTCTCTTCCTGATGTTAAAAAGAAGTTGACAAAACTGTTTATGCTTATGTGTATCTACACTAATATTTAAAGGAAGATTTGTATTTTTGTATATAACGATTAATCTCGAAAATCAGTGGAACCATTTCAAAAATTCTTTCGCTATATTATTACTGAGTAGCATAGGCTATATTTGTTTTAAAACAATATACAAAAACTAGTAAAATACCAGACATATGTGTTCAGTGTCTATATGTGACCAATAGATAAGACAACATAGTATAGCCAAAAGAAACTGATTCACTCGTTTCAAACGGAAAATGTGTACAGCTGATTCAGTGCAAACTGTCCATCTCACATCTGTTATCTGCCCGTGGCAGTGTTTGTTCTAATCGTCGGAACAAACAAACTTACGTAACACGGATATCGTAGACATTATCTTAGCAGGCGTAGATTATTTTTTTTTTCTGAATTACGTAAAAAGAACGATGTCTTATCGCAAAACAAATACCGCCTTTTATTAAGCGCATTATAAAAATATATAATGAGTATAAAAATATCTAAATAGCTAATCTTACTAATATTATAAATACGAATGTTTAGATGGATGCTTGTTTGAAGTTATCTCCAGAAGGGCTGCATAGATCTCGCAGCAATTTGGCATACATGTAGAATATAGCCGGGAAGAACGCATGGGCTACTAATTAACTTTTTTTTAAATACCTAGCGTACGGAGTCGCGAGCGACAGCTAGTATTATGTTTATTGCTCTTGACATAAATACATTCAGTATTTGAATTATTAGTAAACCATGTTAAGGACATTTAAAATTGGTTTAAATTATTTAAACACACATGGTGATAAGCATAGAAGTATTAGTTAAAGAAAAAAAATATTTTTAAACTTTTTACTTCTTATGTGACTCTGATTTGCCTGTATGTATTCAAAAGACAAATAAAACGGATCTTATTTCAGTCACAAACTTATGTAAAGAACCAAAAGTCCTTACCTGTCCGTGAATAGTTGCAGATACGAAGACAGCGATGGAATCGGGCCAAGGTATTGTGGTGTACTGGTTCCACCAGCGGTTCATCACCACAGTCACGTAGAAGCCCAGGACGAAAGACAGGGGTATCACGTTACCATGAAAACTGCAGTAGTTGACCACGCCTTCGAACATCCTGTAGATATACAGTCGAGTCTACAATTGAAATAAATGAAGGCAAGTGACTATGTTAATAGTTGCAATATAAACCTATTGTGTATTAGTCAAGTTGTGTTATGCATTTTGTCTCGTGATCAAATGACCGAATGAAAAGAGAAGCTAAATGTGACATAAAGTAAACGTATCTTCAGAAAGTAAATACCTATAGGAAAAATTCCATCAAGTTTTACGAACCAGATTCTTGTATTAACAATGTAGAGTTTGAATAAAGAATTCTAATATCAAAATTTAAAAACAAAAGAGATATTATTTATTTATTCAAGTCAATCATAAATATGTAATAAATAATACATAATGTTAAATACATTTGTAGAGGCGATCGACTCTACTTCATGCTAACTAAAACTATAACAATAACAAATTATTTTAAATACATACCTTTTAGCATTTTCATCTAACAGGAGTCGATATGTTAAATTGAGTGTATAATACGAAAGTAGAAACACTAGTAGATCCAGCCATACAAGTTTGTATATACTGCCCCGCCATCTGCAAACGATATCATCATTTTAGACTAAAGTTTTTCCCTCCACTGTTATGTGAAAAACGGTTATGACTAGAGTAAATAATGTGCGATAAACACCATCTAAAATTTGGAATGTATAAAATTGTCTGGAGGAACCTATAGGCATAATTATTTATTTTTTAATTGCGCGCGGACGGAAAGCGCGCGCGACAGTTTGCAAAAAAATCTATTTGATTGAATAATACTTAAATAAGTTTTTAATTGGTTTATTTTTTAATTTACTCGTTACTTGAACGCTCTAGTATTTGATGGTTACACATGCAATGTATTGTGTTCGTCATTAGCTGGCAAAAAGTTTGCAGCTTGCGTGTTTGCCCTTTATTATTTTATAGGGTAAAAGAGCAGATGGTTATTCAAGTCAAGGAACGTACCTTTTGAACGAAAATTAAGTCGCCTACATAGCTCATTCTTTTTATCTTTTCTAACAATCACATTTCTAGTTAAGATACTTCTTATACTAGCTGTCGCCCGTTACACCATTCGGGCGGAATTAAAAAAAAACTTAATAAGTAGCCCATGTGTTCTTCCAGATAATATTCTACATCTATGCTAAATTTCAGCGAGATCTGTTGACCCGTTCCGGTCATACCTTCGAACAAACATCCATCTATCCATTCATCCATCTAAACATTCGCATTTATAATATTAGTAAGAAGTAAGATAATTCCATAGTAATAATTTTAATTGCTTGTATACGTTAATCGTAATGTATTTGTTAGACTGGAAGGAACTAACTATACATTTGCCTCAGTTTAATTGCTGTCATTAAAGAAGCCCAACATCTGATTACTTCGCGATCAAGTGTTGATTGCGTCATGATACATACGAGTGTGCGACACAAACGATATTAATGATTTAATATGTCTGAAGTCTCCGTTTGCAAGTATGTTTGTTTTTTATTGCAATAGTTAATAAGACGAAGACAACATTCATGGAATTTATGACGTGTGAAATGTCACTTTGGACTAACCGTGGGTTTCTAAGACATCTCTTTGTATCTTTGGCCCAACAGAGATAACAATATGTTTTATACGGGATATTTGGTGTCAGAAACCCACAATAGAGTAGGGGTCTTGTTATATTGCTGTTTATAACGCAAATAAAATTAATCGATTTGTTTCCTAAAAGACGTTAAAGTGGAAGTTATAGTTAACGTTACCTCATAGGAATAGCAAAGATTTTTTATAGAGTTTCCTATCTTAAAAAATGTATGCTATACATTGCAAAATTTCGTTATTCAAACTATAATAATAGCTATCCGACTGAACGCAAAATAAACCGCGATGAAATAATTGTCCCACGATCAACTGGTACTCTACAACTGTTTGTTATACTTTTTTATATTTAAATATTGATATCAAACAAACACATGATTTTTCTTGGTTTCATATTATTGGACATGACGCGCGCAATTGGAATGCCTTCCCATCAATAACTCTCTTGAATCTCTTCAAATGCGTTATACTTTCACGAAAAGAAGAAAAGTTAATGTTTGGTATGTAATTTTCTACATATAAAATTGTCGCTTTTCTCTTATAATATACAGCGCACGTACTTGATTGCCTTTGATATTTATGACGAACTAATCGCTCTAGCTTTTACTAGACTAATAGAAAACATTAGTTCGTGTTGTTCTCAGTTAAATAAAAAAAAACGTCACTAATAGTCGTATGCTTGTAATATATCTTATATAAAAAATCTCTTGTTTTACTTTTAAACCGACTTCAAAAAGGAGGTTTTCAATTCGTCTGTATGTTTTTTTAAGTATAGGCTAGAATTTTGTCTCAATGTATGTCAACAGTAGTAGATTTAAACGGGTTCTGTTTCTATGTTATATTGTTTACTGTAACCACAAATATCAGCATAAATATTTATTAGATTTGCGCTTACCCTTGTTAACAGACTCATCACGTGGCGTTGAAAATTACAATTGCTCTTGTATTGTGTAACAATATAACAGTAACACAATTGTCATTTTAATTTAAACCCCACGTTGGTTAACAATATAGTCGGTGTTAGTAAGTCTACATATTATGCGACTACAAAGTTGCCATACCACGCGGCGTCACTTTGTCTGAGCGCGAAGAATTCATAATATCAAAGGTTAGCAAAACTAAAGATTTTTGTTGAAGAAGAGTTAGAGATAATAACAATCCTTTTTTTTTCTTCTTCGTTAGCTCTACAAGCCGAATGGTGTTTTCAACTAAACCAAAGCTAGACCTTGGTTTGGTTGGATAAAACGACTACCTTATAGAAAGAAAAGATTAACTTCAAGCGCCCACGCTGGCAATGCACCTTACACTCGGAGAAGTGATAAAAACAAATGCGAAATGGTTGATTTCACAGATTATTCAATAACATTAAAATCAACTATTTACTGTCGTATATAGACAAAGGCCGAGTCTATTGACATGTGCACGTCACAATATGTCATGAGCAAACTTTTAGTACAAATTAATATTATATTCTTTGGATTATACAACCTTGCACTACATCAAGACGTTCATATATCAAGCATTGTGCGCCAGGAATGGTTAGCTTTGTCGTACGTCCGTTGATAACAATCAGTTTTATTGCTGCGAGGAAATCTATCTATACTCATAAGTTAGATAATAAGTATGCGTAAGGAATACGTTTGTGTTTTTACATCGAACGGTGTCAAGTACTCCGTGTAGAACTGGCACGTATCTAGAATAGAATTAATGTCTAAGGTCAAATGCAAACAGACTAAGGCTTTGATTACAATTGTCTTACAACAAATTGAATGTATGGAAAGAATCTTTATTTTATTTTCTAACTGGTAGTTTAGACTCTATTGAGTAGTTTAGTGTTAAGATTAGCTATCTAGCTGTTTTTGTACAATTAACCCTTAATTAGCCTGATTTACATACGAAAGTGATTTATTTTTAATATTACTGTGTTTGCTTGATAAAATAAGACTATAATGAAATTTGTTCTTTTTTTAATTTCGTTGGAAAGAATATAATACAACAGTAAAAAAGGTACAGCCAACCTATAAAAAAACTAATAGTAATGTGAACATTCGGTTTAAAAGATTGGTATCAAAATTGAAACTCTAGGCTAATTAGGGTTAAAGTATGAGGTGGAATACTCGAAAAATCAACAAAGTTATTTTCTTATCATTCGTCTCTATAATCTTATCAAATTGCGGTATCATTATAAAAGCCGCTAACATTAAAATATAATAACAACTGTACCAAAAAAATCTGCAATAATTATTACGTTATTGTGGTGTTTGGTTACTGACGTTACTTCTACAACAACGATATTATACAATTCCTAAAGACTTGAAGATAACGTACATGACAACAACGCTACATATCTTATTGTTGATGTTTACTTCTTCTTACTATACTACTTTATACTCTTCATTAAGTACAACTCTGAATTTGAATCGAACGTGCAGGGCGATTACAAAACAAATTGTTTGTTGGTTTTAGTGCACTAGGCGGTGTGAATATGGAAATCACAGAGAAGGATATTACGTCATGAAATGACGCATCACGCCACCAGGCCATGTCAAGGCGTGGACTGAATGAATAGCTTAATTTTATAGTTTATCACAGTAATCATGTGTCAGGAAGTGGTACATATTTGTACGAGCTCATATATGTGGTGTACACAATTACTAACACAACGAAAATATCAAAATGTACAGTCACCTAATTTTGCGGTATTGCAGTTACAGAAAAACATATCTTGTTCCTTGCAACAAACGTTAAAACCGATATAATAATCAACCTTATTTATTGAAGCAAGATTACTGAGAAACAATAAAACAATGATATCTACAAATAATTATAATATTGAATGAAAATGATCTTTATCACGCGACGGCCAATGTTCGAAGGCCGCAACTCACAACCTTGCAATCATTCATTACAAATGATGAACTGATAGGTAACCAATTTTGAATTTCTTTTCCATTGTGAAAAATTTCAAATTCATCAAGTAGCCAAACGTTCAAGTTTAACATAAATATGCTATCTAATCAGCATTTGTTAAAATGAACATAAAAGAAAAAGCAACCGAAATAGATGTATTCTTGTTCCCAACTTAAAGGCCGGGTACTATACATATTTTCAGTTATATTTTTTTTTAAATAATGCGAATAATTAATCTTATATTGCGACAACAGCGGTAAAAATGTCGGAAGATTCTAAGCCTAGGTAATCATTTGTACCTAACCATATAATTAAAATTGAACAATTGCAAATATATTTGAAAAACGAAAAGTTTAATTTAATACTTACATACACTCAGACTCGTAATTTTAACCTCTAAGCGTGTTTGAATACAAATGATCTTTATTAAAAAAAGGAATTTTAACATACATAAATTTGCAATGCTCGGAGTAATTGATTTGAATTGGATTTGGCTACAGCAGCTGTTTCTCAGACAAGAACAACAAGCAAACGAATTATAGTGATGAGTAATAGAAAAATACACAGAGCATATCGGCGGCCGGATTCAATTCGGCTAAGTACTTACCTCAGTCTGCTTTTAACATAACATTAACGTTAATGAGTTAGTAATGCAAGAACTGCGTGAGTCAGAATGACGTCGAATAGACCAGAAATACTGGGAATCTCAATTTCGAGTTATATACATACTAGTTGTCGCCCGAGACTCCGTCCCCGCGTAATTAAAGAAAAGAAAACTGAATAAGTAGCCTATACATGTTTCTAGACTATGTTCTATATCTATAGCATCTTTTAACAAATTGCATGCAGCCATTCTGGTGATACCTTCAAACAAACATTCATCCATCTATCCAAACTATCGCATTAGTAAGATATTATTTTTTTATTATTTTATCGTAGCCATGACCGTCTTGTAACACTATGAGCTGTACTTACTAGCGATAACAAAATTACCATTCATTAATAATTTATGCATCATGAGGAACTGTTCTGATAATGAAGGAAACTAAGCAGAGTATTAGGAAAAAATGTATGGAATGTAATACGAAGTATTAAAGCCTACGTCTCTCTACTCTATGTTTGCAGTTTATATAGCAATATGCTTTTTTCCGACCATAACGATTTATTTACAGTTCATTAATATTTTACATGTAACTCTGCAACTATCGGGCGCTTATAGATTCCGCTATTGACTTGTGCGAAGTGATTAGCTTGATCTTATTAACAAAATAAATAAACGTAACGTAAGACAATAAAATGTCATCCATTGTGTTAGATCAAAAGGCCCGCAGTAACAAAATAAAAAAGCATCGAGTATTCAGTTAAAGAACTAAAAACTACGGGATTTAAAAAAATCTAATAAGTATCCTATGTGTTCTTCCAGACTATGTTCTACATATTTACAAAATTTCATCAAGATTCGTTGAGGCAAACAAACATCCATCCAAACATTTTCATTTATAAAATTAGTAAGATTTAGTTGAGGGTGAGAAACAATTCGGACACATCAATATAAAGATTACACTTGCTATGCGTGTAATCGTAACATTTTCAGGTTACTGCGAACTAGTTCAAGTCCACTTGTATCGACCTTCAACGGCTTACGAACACTATGTGAAAATTAAAATGTAGCAACGAGGACAGAATACAGGAAAAAACAATAAATTAAGTTTGCTAAAACGCAAATATTATCCTCATTTACATTCTCTAATGTTAAATAAGTTAAGAAAAATTAAAAAAACTATTTTTTTAAATATCTTATCATCATATTAACTAATTAAAAAATATATGAAGCGTACATTGTTAATATCAATATTATCGAAATTTAATTTCATTAAACTATCGACCGTCACACATAAAGACAAATGAGTCAACCCCACTCATCGCATTCAAAGTATTAGAACAATATATTAAATAAAAAAATAAAAACACTCACATGCGCCACCCAAAGGGGTAGGCAGAGATTATGATTTTCCATTTCGGTCGATCCTTGGGTACATCTTTTGTTTGAAGTATAAACGTGTAATTTGTGTGAAACGATATAGACATAGTTAATAAAAACGCACACATGTGTAACAGAAATTATATAAGATACAGAACATAACGCTATGTGCCAATTTAACGTTTTATTGGTTATAATATCTGCACTAGAATGACAATGGATATAACAGATCGCATAAAAGAAACTCAAATATTATGACTGAACAGCTTAAGTTATGTTTAATTAAAAAATATTGATGTTTCGTATTTAAACAATGACTTTTTCCTTCAGGGAATCACAACTACTTGTCGATTACTTATTAAAAACAAAAATACGTAGATACCCACAAGTACAAAACAAACATCAAATCCGAAAAACATTTGATTCGCTTAATAATGATTTTCCTCAGTTTATTTCATTAATGATGACAATTGTTAGTGGTTAATTTTTTTACTAACCGTAACAAAGAAGAGAATATTTAAAGATTTGTACGATATCGGAGGACATTCACCCTTTATTTAGATCAATAAACAAACCAGACTGCGGCTCTTTGATGTCTCCGCAAATATTTCTGATCATGCCCTAAATTTACACTATATATTTTTTTAAATATCTAGATAAATAAATCCTACAGGGGAAATCATTAGTGATTTTTTTTTATGTTCGCAATGATTTTGATGTGGTACATGCTTAAAATAATCGAATAAATCCATCAGAAACTGTGGTATCTAATAAACAAAACTCGAAAAGTAAAAGTTTTCAAAGTTATTTTAAGTAATCAGACATTAAATACTTATAAGTTAAATTGATATAAAAAGTATTTACATCTCGTTATAAAAAGGGGAACAGATATATTTTATTTTAAGGCATTGTTACATCGGTTATTATCGCGTAAGTAAAAAACTCTTTGCAGAGCCCAATTGAATTATTCGCACGGTTTAAGGTCAATAACACGGCATTACGTCAACTTACCGGTCCACTTCTCTAATTTTATATTGTAATTTAGTGTGTTAATTGAATGAATAAGCAAACTATGACGATAAAAAGTGCGACAAAAATGACAATCGCACCTTATCAATCAATGTCAATATTCTCGAAAAAAGCGTGGATTAACGCACCTGTTTATGTACCCTAGAAGTCTTGTTGACATGAAGTATGGAAAAATTCGTAATAACCTACACTATCACACATTTATACAATTTGTTTACAATATTTTTATTCCACCACAGTAAAGAAAAGTGTGTGACTATTATGTTACAATTCAATGTAACTATCTGGGAATTTCATAGTTTATTTTTTTCTTATAAGAACCATCTTATCTACCGATATGTTATCAACATGATCAATCAGTTGTTAAACAATCTCCAACTAAATATTGACATAAACTTGGAAAATTATATATGGGTAAAACTTGCCATATTGTAAAGAGAAGGCGATCTAATTATCCAAAATGCGAATCAGTTTTACAATGATCGAAACATTCAAGAATTCGATTAGATCATTCTATCTTTTTTTGCAGGCGACATCAAGATCTTGTTCGCACTTATTTTATTCATACGATACATTTCTTATTGCCATTTATTTTTTTAATGTTCACCTGCGTCGTATTACAAAAACATATTAGTAAAAACCATTCCTATACATAGACATAGCGCTAGAAGAGAACTCTAGTTTTTAAATACTGTCTATATAACCAACTTTAAAACTATCATATATCAAAAGCTATAGACAATAAACAATTATTTAAAATTAAAATTGTATAATAATATCTGTCTGAATCCCGCGAAATATTAACGATTGTATTGACATTTCAGTGGCCAAAATAAATTCAGCTATGTAGGCTACAATTAAATTTCCATACATACGATATCTGATAAATTACCAGTAAACTTTTATCAAGTTTACTGGTAATTTATCGGGAATAAATAACTTCGCAATCATTTAACAACTAACATTAATTGCGATCGTAAATGAATTAGCTACGCACCCTGTAGTGTTACGATACATTTCCTATTGTAAAAGGATACGTTCATTGTTTGCTTTGTCTACCCCTTCGATTAATTCCAATTGGATATAACCCTTATTCAGATTGTACTTTTGATTACAACTACTGTTTACAATTGTGCACTATAGATGTGCGCTGTCTTACTTCTTACTAATATGATCTTATTAATTCTTACTATCTCATTAATATTATGAAGCAAATGTTTGGTATAAATAATACGTAGTTTCGAATAATACATAGTATTGTATTCATCCATTTTATATCAAATTCAGCGCGGACAGTCAGTCGTGAGCAAAAGCTCGTTCTTCCATAAAAGTGTAGTTTTGAAATTTTACGCTGCAGTCCCAGGATCGGATTAAAAAAAATATAACTAAAAGATAATTTTAAACGATAATTTTCACGCTTTATTAAACTTATAACTATCATTTTTAGTAACCACTTGCACGTAATTAGTAGAATTAAGCTCTTAAGTTATACAGATGTTCTTAAGAAAAAGGATTCCTAACAAGTTTCTATGATATTTATAAATAGACCAAAAAGTTCAATATTTTTTTGAAGGACAAAACATCTGTCTGGTCGGTTAAAGTTTCGAAATAACAAACAAAAAAGGTTTTGCTACTGTGCTCTATGGACAAAAAAAACATCCTAGTCCTACAAATAACAGACTATATATTTATCGATTTAAAATTGAAGAGTGAATGTAGGGCTTTGGAAAGTGCACTGGGTTGACTGAATAATGAATGTCCCCTCGGCCCTCGCCTAGTAACTAAGAATATCGTATGGATTTCTGATTTTGTTGACCCGTTTCTTAACAGCGTGTACTGTATTGAAGTAGAGTAAAATCAGTTTCTTCATAAAATTGCAGACGTAATGTAATTAAACACTTTTAATACTATTTTCGATGGTATTGAAACCTAGCGAATATGAGATATTTTGAAATTAGTATAGTATTATAGTATATATATTATAATTATATATATATATATACATATATATATATATATATATATATGTGTTTGTGAAAAAACGACAACCTTTTATCGTATCTGACTTTTGTTATTTTTACCCCACACAAATATAACAAAGTATTGTGAGTGAAAAACAATAGCTACCTTCTCTTGTTTCAGCATTCAGCACTAAATGACGCTTTTTTTATTTTTAGTTCATCACGAAGTGTCAGACTCAAATAAACGTCGTAATTCGTCTGATTTTGTCATGTCACATTACAATGTAGGTGTGACAGGATGAAGGATAAATGGACATTGACATCAACGGCTCATACTGCCATACTCCTTCAATGGAAATCTACACTAAGGGACTGCTTAAGTAATAAGCTTTAAATAACCGAGTATGAAATAATTTCATCTCTATTTAATAGTGAAAGGACGAAACAAAGGATGGCTTTCAAGAAACATATCCACCATAAATAGCTTTCGTATTAAAATACTCTGATTACTGAGATACGATATTTGTAACCACGCCTTCAAAAAAGACATGTGATTTCCGAATTCGAACGATCAATGTTCGAAAAAACACATTGGTTTCAGATAAAAAGTAAGCACCGGGTAATAGTAACTATATGTATATTTTAAAAAACAACATGTTTTTCGAGTTCCGATTCTTGAATTACTTACAACTTCAACTAAGGTTTTTTATTGTCGTTAAGTAAACAAAACATAAACTTTGTGAAGTTTATGTTTTGTTACAATACAAAACTTACTTGTAGAGGTATATGTATATTGAAAATACTTAATAAAAAAATCACTTTATGTAGAATAAAATCAAGACGTAAGAGGCAAAGAATATTTAATATTTTACAAGTGAAATAAGCCTAATAAATGTTACACAAATTGAAATTCAAATCAAGTGTTAACATTGTTATCGATACAAAATTGGTAAAATTATTTAGCGTATACCATTATTTAATTCAATTTTTCGTAATAAAACAGAATAAACCTAAAATCTGTAAAAACAAAAATCGAAACTTACTTGTATAAAACTTTTAAAAATGTTCCAAAACCGCGACAAGTAGCTACTTCACCAGTGTATGTAACAGTCATTTTGATTTGATTTTAGCTATAATATCACAGTAAGGTACCAATTAAATTTTTTTATATTACTCATAACGCAAAGCAACACTTTTCGGAATAGATGTGTCGAAAAGACAGAAATATCTTGTCTTACTTAAACTAGTCACCGTATTTTACACTTAATGTAGAAGCTAAGTGTTGACTTAAAACAGTTATAAATTTATTTCATGTTTATCAAAATAAGTTAACCACATTATTAGCTATACGTAATCACATAAACACTGCAACACACACCGCAATACCGAAAACACGCAACATTAAACTGAATTGAAATGAAGACAATCACAAAAACATAACATCGTCAGACTGGACTACACACCACTAGACTATGTATAAGTTGGCTTATGCAGAGTGGAGTGAAGTAAGCAACTTGTAAGCAATATTAAGTTTTGACGGATGACCGGTGACAGATCATGGAACTTAAGCAGTGTTGCCAGCATGACATTTTACTTATCCCATCCCACCATCCCATTTCTAATTCTCCCATCTCCAGTTAATTGTCAAACTAATCTTCCTTAAATACACAAACTATAAAGCACCATTAATGAAGTGCCACATAAAATTGTATTTTACATAAGATTAAAAAATATTTAAACTCCCTTCCTATGGAGTTTGATTACCTCTGTATATGATATATCCATATATATATTACAGTTTAATTAAGTAGCACCTAAGCATGAAACGGAATTTTATATTTAATGTAACTAGTTTGGTAACTAGTGAACACATAGGTACGTTCCAATAAATTTTAATCTGAACGCCAACGAAATGTGCACTTTTATGAAATCTAGCTTTAATTTTTAATAAATAATTTGGACAAATCAAAACGTCTATTTTTCATCTGTGCAACTCTTCAGCGGCAAAATATTACCTGTTTCTGTGTCTCTGTCTTTTTCGTAATGTCAAAATGGCCGAATATCTTTCTTATTTCTAGTTTAATATAGACAAAGTTTTTCTTACAGGGTTTCCATTAATTACTGTACGTGATAATTTAGTTTTAAAAACCTATTATAGATTTTGTTAGTATTGATTTATGTTTTTGTTTACTAAACAGCTACGTCTACCATGAGTGAAAATGCTAGTGATGATTGTCCTGAAGAAAAGCCGGTTGTTGTACATAGTGAAGATGTTTTATTCCCGCCTTTCCCAGGTATGTTTTAATCGTGTATTTATATGAATAAGATATATACAAATATACGTTTCACAACATAAATACTGTTGTATACAAGTACGAAAGCTAAGATACGCTCTTAAAATATATTATATGGTATTATATCTTACAGTGGATTTAATTATTAGTGTCCATTATTATAATAATAATTACAGATTTAGGCATAAAGTTTTTTTAGTATTATGTTTACTAATAAGTTGTTAGGGATGAAATAAATTTTGGCTGTACTTTGCATGGCTTCTATTTAACATGTTTACTACTAATTTTTCTAGTTGAAAAAATAATGTTTGATATATTCATTTATTATTATTTACAAAAAGTATTTGTTCGGGAGCTCATAATTATTCTACAGCTCTATTTCATAGAATATTTTGGATTTTTTTGTAATTAAACTGAGCAATGCTATATTAAAATTTATACAATCAACTGTAGTTAAACATATTGTTTGCAATAGCAGCAATAATAATACAATTTTTTCAGATCCAACTGAAAATGATTTTGATGATGACATTGCTGAAGAAGAAAGGAATTATTATAAAGAAAAGTACAAAGGTAAGCAAAAGTTGTTTTTTACACTATGGCAGTTATTTTTACATGCTGCATGACAATCTTTCAGTGATATACCTCACATTATAAATGTGGATAATGTCAACATTTAAAAAATATAAAGACAGGACTTAGCAAACAACATGTATCATACATTGACAAGCCACATATTGGGAGGATTATCAATGTTGTAGATATCTGTATTTCATGCTGTATTCTATACAAATAATATATTTCAAATCATATAATATTTTAAAGTAAAAGACGTCTTGTGGAACTTTTATTGAAACTAAATATGTTGACTATTTTTTAACAAATAACATTACTTTCGTAAGTACAAAATTAATGCAAATAAATTGCTGTCAATGTCTCCTCTGTAACTTAATATTATATTGGAATCTATTTGGTTTTTAACTATATTGTCGTAGCAAAGAGGCAATAAAATTTCAAATTTCTCACTATGATATTGTAACATAAAGTCATCATAAAACCTGTCTTAAAGCCTACCATATTGCCTTCTTAAAGCTTAACCTCTAAATTTAGGTTTTTATTTATGGACACTCCTCAGTGTTGTTTGTTTTCCAGATTTAAACATCATTAAATCTCAAAGATTGCATTGCACCGCGTGTGATCGACATCTAGGATGTGCGCCACGCAATGAAAGTCGCATGCGTCCACATCCTTTGCTCAGAACTCTTGTATGCCATACATGTCATAACTTTTACAACAGCGGAGAGTTTGAAAAGGGTGATGATGGATCGGAACTCTATTGTCGTTGGTGCGGTCAAGGTGGACAAGTGTACTGCTGTTCTGATTGCCCTCACGTGTTTTGTGCGGTAAATGTTCATTCACAGTCAAACTTTATATTTGTTATAAATAACATAGATGAGACATATTTTGTGGTTTTACAGAGATGTATAAGAAGAAATTTAGGGACACCTAAAATAAAAGAAATTGAACAAATGGATGATTGGAAATGTTTCAAATGCAACCCAAAGTGTCTGTGGGATACACGTGCTATGTGTTGGGCAGTTTTGCGCTATTGTGACCAGAAAAATAAGTAAGTATCTATCTATACGCCTTTTTGAAATCGTTGTAATATTATTGTATTTTTTTTTTGTTTTAAATTTTTTTTTTCAGAATTGCTTACAACACCGAAGATCCTGAAAAAAAGGACTTATATCAAAAAGATTGTGCAGTTGACTATACAGAATGTTGTAAAAGTAAAATTAAAAAAAAAGAAAAAAAGAAGGAAAATGAGAATACCCAGAAAAAATCGACTGCATCTATTATATCTAAAATATCCCCGGCTATTCAGGTTATATTTTGTGTAAAATAATAATAAAATCAATGGCAATTAAAGGCTTACTTTGAAAAAGTATAACAGTATTAATATTATTTTAGGTTAAAAAGTTTGCTTCTATTGTACCTGACGAGAAACCTGATAAAAAGCCACTGAAACGACCTGCAAGTCCTAAACAGAAAGCAATATTTATAAAAAATGCTATTCCAGTGTCTGTGCCAAGTACGGCTGCAATTATACCTAATCAGCATATTAAAAAAATACGGGTAAGTGTTTAATTCCACTTTGATTCAAAACATGGTAGACTATAAGTAAAATCTTACTTCTTACTAATATTATAAATGCAAATTTAGATGGATGGATGGATGGATGGTTTTAACAGGTATTTCCAGAATGGCTCAAAGAATCTCGATGAAATTTGGGATGGATATAGAACATAATCTGGAAGAACACATAGGCTATTAAGTGTTTTTTTAATTCAGACAGCTACTGAACATATAATTATTGAGATGAACAATTTTTTTGTTATAGATGACACCTCCGGGCATGATAAATACTCCAAGATTTCCTAATGATAAAAAAATGAATTCAATTTATATACCCCGTTTCAAATGTCAAAGACCACCAATACCAATTCGTACACACTATAATGGCAGCTTCAATATTCCCTACAATACAATGCCAAATGATAACATCAACTTGTCATTGGAAAATTTGACACAGGTAATTAATTCAATATTTTGTTTTTAATTTTTTTTTACACCAATTATTTATTTTTAGATGTTATCTCACTTTCATAAAGTATTGTCTTATTAAAAAAATTACCTTTTTTTGTTTTACCAAAACAATTGCAAAGCTGTTTTCTACTATGTTTATTTATTTTTATAATTTTCACTTTAATTGCTAAATGCTGTTGCTGTTGCTAAAATTTTGCAATTTGTTGGTTGTTTGGCAAAGCGAAGAACATTTGAAATTTATAAAATATTTATTTTTGATTGAAAACCACAATGTTTTTATTTATATCACAACCACATTGCACAATTGAAAAAACTGCCTTACATATATTTTGACCTTACCTTTTATTTAACGAGTTATTGCGTAGCTGTGCACAGCTAAGCTAATTTTTTTGTGATTTATCGAAATTGTAACTAATTCAATAGGGGGTGGACATATCAGGTGTGTCAACAATGTCCAGCAGTTCTAACCAAGACGACGACGTAGTCTGCACTCCAGATTTGCCATTAGAATCCATGTGCGAGGTAATTTCTTGACAGATGTATCAGTAGTAAACTTTAAACAGTAATTACATTTTCTATGCTTTGTTTTAACAGGTTACAGAAGATAATGCGGATGATGATGTTCAGTGTATAACCCCTGGACCAATCACAGCGCCCAAGCTTACGTCTGTGCCGCCACTCGTAGCTCGCGCGGGAAACAATTTGCCAGAATTAATTCCAGAAAATATCGTTCAGATGACGGAATCCGACGTCACTGTAAACACAGCTACTGGTGGATTGAAATTCCGAGTCGATCCGCAGACTTTATCATCAAACAAGATGTATCGGTTACCTGACGGCCGCGTTTTTGCGATCAACGCGAACCCCGGGTTGCCCGGAGGATACTCTGCTACCATCGTAGCGGTTACTGAAAAAGCAAACCAAGGGAAAGCTTCCACAAAAGGAGCGACTTTCGCGGCCAAACTTAGTGCAGTGACCACAGCGCTGGTCACCACGCCGCCCTCTTCCGTCAAATCGTACAGTGCGAGAACCACACGATCTGGTAAAAAACGCAAACCAGAGATAATGCACACAAGAGTTAGTAGTGGCAAAACAAACAGAAGATCAGAAACATCAGTCAGAGAATGCGATCTGAATGTACCGATCGAATGGTACAGGTACAATCTGATTGACGCTGTTGATGCTTTGGAATACTCTTTGTCCCGGCTTCATAAATTAAAAAGAGAGGCGACGACCGTGTACTTAAGAACACGGTCAGTTAATGAAATGCGAAATCTTCATAGAACCTTGGATCGATTATTATCCACTTCGGTGAATAGATTTAATGAAGTTCGAGTTAATGTCAATAAAGAAATGAAACAGTACGTCGCAAAGAAAAAGTTCGCCGCCAACAGTACGGCAACCAACGATACGAGCGAGGAGGATGACGATGTAGAAATATTACCAGATTTAGAAGACAACGAGGAGGATCCCATTTTCATTGATGAAAATTCGTCAGATTCCAATGGTAATCAAGAAGTTGATCTAACGGGGGCTAACAGTGAAAACAGCCCTGATAAAGGGGCTGGTAGGAAGGATTCCAGCACAGTAGATCAATGTAATGATAATAATGATGATTTAAACGACGTCCCTACTAACAATGACGTAAATAACTTTAACGATGACTTAAGAAACCATGGCGATAAAGATGGTGAAGAAGAGGAAGTTAGGAATGAAGAGGCCAGTGATGTCGACCACTCGAATCAAACGAAGGAGAAAGATGTCAATGGTGACATGGAGTCTGACTGTAATGCTAAAGATAAAGAAGATGATCATAAAACAGATGAAGGTGTAAAGGAAGGAAACAAAAATACAACAAACAATTCAGAAATTAGTGGTGGTGATGAAGATTTAGAAAAAAATAGTAGTAACGAGGGAGCGGGATTAGATAATACTGAAGCAGCTAGTGCTTCGGAACAACTTGATGAATCGTAAGTACTTTAAATATAAAGTGTAGTATAAATGGATTTGATATGTAAGTAATTATGCAACACATAGCTAATTATTTCTAAGTTTAATAATACAAATTCTTGATTGATTGATGTGAAGGCTTGTATATGAAATGAGCCTTGCAAAATTATCAATATTAAGTCTGTTGTATAGCTGCTTTTCTTGATTGTAATTAAAATTAAAAAATGGTACTGAAAATCTTGATAGTACAGTTTGATTTATGTTTCAAATGCACCCCGAATTTTTATTTTGCTATCATGAATAAGAAATGTTTGAATATTGAAAATGTATGTATTTATTTACCAGTTATTTTGTCAATTTGTTTTCAACTAGCGGTCGCCCGCGACTTCTTCGGCGCAGAATTAAAAAAAAAAGTAGCGTATAATATGCCCGCATGCATCAGAATCGGTCCAGATTACCCGGAACTACTCGGCCTTGCGGACAGACACAAACATTTTAAAAATTGGTTTTTCGTTATCGCAAATTCATCGCGTTTACGAAATACGATTTTTTCTCAATGATACATCCAGACACTCCAATTTTATTAATATGTATAGATTATACTGAGTATATTTTTATTTCGTGTTCTTTTCCATTGTTGCCAGGATTAAATATTAAAACGATAACAATATGTATTGCCAGTAATTATTTTCTATTTGTATCTTTGTAGTTTTTTTTTTTTATGTTTACATTTTCATTACTTTTTTGTTCTATTTATTACTAGTACAGAAAATGCTATAATACTTTGTTGGATTTTTCTCCCATTTGAAACAAACATTTTTTTAGGAACTCATCATATCATTGAAATATTTACGCAGAATTTAATTGTTGATTATTTTTCTTTCTGAAACTACCAAGTAAATAATACTTAATATTGTTAGAAACGAAATACAGTGGACACGCGGTAATCCGGCACAATTTGTAATCCATTTTCATACTTCATAAATTGATTTATTCATACACTTTTTATGCATAGTTTTTGTTTATTATTTGTACATTTATTTGTCGTTTCCTAAGGTAAAGTTACTATTTTATGTAAGTAATTTTGTTATGTAAGAATTAATAACATTTTTAGTTGAAGCTTTGTACTTTTTAGAGAAGAACATATAGAATCAGTAATTTATCAGAAGTATTTTGTAAAAAATACCCGGACTAAAGGTTTCTTTTTTAGTATTATAACCCAACAAAGTCGATAGTTCGACAATGCCCTGCCGTTTGTCGGATTACCTCGGGACTACGGTCACTTTTGTATGTTGAAAGACAGACGGTCAGTTTAGTCGTCTAGTTGTATATTACACAGCATGTATAAAGTAATGATTTCTATTGTGTGTTTTACAATTGTAGGGATTTTTACAAGAATATTGAACTCGATACATGTCTAAAACAAATGTTTAGCTTCAAAAAGGAAAATCTATTTTTTACCAATTTTATTTTGTTAATCGACTGTGATGTTTTTTTTTGCTACATGTCACCAATGGGCTTGTCTTTTTGTTTATCACTATGTATATACATATCACTCATCTAGCTTTTTTTACTAAAAAAAATTACAAGTAGGTAATGCATCTAATGTGTCATTTTGAGTAACCGTGGGTTTCTAAAAACAAAATCTCCGTTTAAAATATATTGTTATCTCTGTTTTGTCAAAGATGAAAGATAGGGATGACAATATGTTTTTAAAAGAGATTGATTTGTGTCTGGTCCTTATGGTATTGGTGAAATGCATTATGTTTTGAAATTTGTATTTTATTTTCTTTATTACAAATATTGTGATATCTCCACTGAAATGATGTAGTAATTGAGGTTCTTGTATACTAAATTTCAGATTTGTGATTTTTGGTTTATCTACATATATCGATTGATTCGATAAACGATTATTAGCTTAAGTTTATGATATGCTTCCGTTGTACAATCTAATAGTTATTATTTTCTTAGGTATAAAAATGAGCAAAAAATGTCTAGCGATTAACCCCAAGATTGTATAAAGTCCTTTGATACAATGTGCTTGTATGACAAACGAGATTTTTCTGTATACATTCTGTCTTTGGAATCCCTGAAGAATGGCTAAAAGTGATCTTTTAAGACATAATTAAATTGTATGATAATTTTGCTAAAATCTAATCGAAATATTACTAAGTGTTTGTGTCAAATAGTAAAAAGTGTTTATTAAAACTTTTGAATTCAATAGTACTGTCGTAGAATGAAAAACTGGCACAAACCAGTCACCAGACGGCGCTAGTCCTGATGACATGAAAGTCGAGACGATGACAAACTGTATAATAATGAATTAAGTAGTATGTTTAGGGATTTAAATTGCCATTTTTGACTTCAAGGACTGAGGATCGTCATCGGAATCGGTTTCAATGAGATGTATATTAATAATATTCGTCAGTTAATTGTTGAATAGCTAATTTGTAATAAAATTAGCAGTGATTAGTAATTACAATTGTTTCATGATTCGATATTTAATAACACTTTCCATTAGTTTACAACAATGTGAATGTGACATGTAAAATGCGTGCATTTAAAATGTTTTTGTTTTAAATAGATGCAAGATGATTGGAAACAAGTAAGAATATAAAATAATATATTGTCGTAATACATATTAGTATCTGTCATATAATTTTTTTTAAAGAGAAATACACAGTGGTACAATTGATTGCCGTTTTATTTGAATTCTATCCAATTGGAATTCTATCAAGTGTTGCGCACTGTTGACATTAAAGGAAAAAATAAAATACACATATGTAGAGTTCATGTAATGACTATGGTCTAAGAGTCAATTATTGAGTTTTCTAATCCAGGAAGTGATTTGGGAAATTCACCACCACAATATTATTTGATTGTAAATCTGCAGTAATAAAAAATTAAGATATTGGAATTGGTTTATAAAGTTAAATTTTTTATTTTCATATTGCTTGTAAGATTTGTGGATTTCGGACAGATGTGGAAATTAAAAACAACAACGATGTATTTTTATTGCGACATAATTATGTTTAATTCAAATATTCCTTAAAAATTATTATTATTTTAAATTAAAGAAATGCAGAAAAGGCATTTTTAAAATAGCTCAAAGCAAAACCTGATTAAATCAGAAAAATTAGTAAAGTAGATTATATCACAATGATGTACTTATTGAAGTTGTCATGGATCACTGAAACATCAAAAGTAGAAGAAATGCAGAATGAAGTGAACTCAGTAACGGAAATGTCCCTTCCTCGAGCGCTCCTCGTGGTACACGCGCATCGGAGAGTACGTTCCGTTAGACGCACCGTTGGCGTTCAAACCTGGAATAGAAACAATATAGATAAAAAAAAGAAATTTTATGTTTCATTGCCGAAAATGTTATTTTTAACGTCTTTTCTGTAATTTTTTCTGCAATAGAATATCATTTTCGTGCGTGCATCTAAATTCGGGTTCCAAAGCTGTGAGATTTTCGGACCACTGACGACCTTGTTTCATCAACGCGCATTGACGACACCTGATTTATTGCGAGTTTTTGCTTGCGAGGATCAGTTTACGATCGTTCCCAGAACCATGTACCGTGGACACGTATGTTTCATGTGACTAAATGTGCTGGTGTGTTTACTACGCACATACCTTTACCGTTCAGTTCTCCGTCGACGGTGCTGGCTTTAAAACAGATCGCATTTTTATATATTATCATTTCACCGAATTGTTTAATAACTAAGCATCCTTAAGTGTACCTTGTAGGAGGTTGTGTGGTGGCGGAGCGGGTTGCGCAGCGCAGCGCGGGGCCAGCAGCAGGTGGTAGAGCGCGAGGTATATCGCGGCGGCGGCCAGCGCGGCCACGCCCAGCGCACGGTACACGCCGCGCTGCGCCTCCAGCGGCGCCTGCAGCGACACCAGACCACCAACTATCGCGCCGATGCACCGACCTTCACACGACAACATAAAATATTTTAAAATCAATTCCTACTCTTTGTAATTAATTTACAAGGTTTTAGTTAATGTTTTGAATTAAATTTTACCATTAAAATAAAGGCCTCACATATTTTTGTTCAACCACTCCAACATGAGTTTCAAATCAACATGGCCACCACTACAATTTTAATTTAATCTTTAAGTTTAACTAAACTTGAATGTTTCTTCGGAAGCTTTAGCTTGGGTTGTTACTCCATTAAACTACCAGGAAAGGTGAGAGACCTTAAGAATGTAAATCACCGCTCGTCTTGAAGTTTTGTAGTTTTGAGATTTCTTCAAGTGTCATTCATAGCGTTTGATAAAAACAAGCCCGTTAGCATGTATGACATACCGATGCAGAAGTGCGCGATGACGGGCAGCGCCTGTCCTGTGGTGGTGTACTTCTTGGGTACGAGATGGCGGAAGTAGAGCACGGCGGTCACCCACACCAGGCTCAGTGTGAACACCTGCAGCACCGCGCATACCGCCACCCAACCGTACGAGGTGCTGAACGCCAGACCTGACAATTTTACATTATTTCAGCGATTGATTCCAGCGCTGGATTAAAACTGGAAAAATGTAAACTTACATCCGAGATTGAGTTTAGTTTTATATCAAAAGACATATTCATATAAAAGTAATATTAATGAAATATTTATCAAAAATACGCTCGGAGCCTACCCAGATTAGGACCTAGTCACCCCCAACTTAGTGTAGGCTCCGAGCCCCTCGATGGGGACGTATAGTGATCTGATGATGATGAATTATCAAAAACAGTGGGTATATTGATTAAAATATATAAGAATAAGAAGGTTGATGTTTGTGTGTCATACCGGTGTACCGCAGACAGTAGAATGTGAAGGCACTGATGAACACGTTGGAGTGCCCGATGTAGTCTACGAGCGCCTCCGCCCACCAGAGCGCGGGCACGGCCGGCAGCGCGCCCTCAGTCATTATCAGGCCCACCTGGGTCAGTGTGCCGTTCAGCTCCATTATAGTCCTGGAAAGAAACATTACGCATTTACAGATAAAATATTGATTTCGGCAGCTGAAATAGATGACATGCGAGCGTGTGGTGCACTAACCACGGTACGTAAGAGTCAATGGTGGTGCAGAGCGCGCCGAGCAGGGCGACGACTGCGGCGACGGCGGCAGTCTCCGCGCCGTATCGCCGCACCGCGCTCAGCGGCACCGCCAGCGCGCCCGTCGCCGTGTGCCACCACCACTCCGGCGCGGACAGCGGCATGTGACTGCATCCCAACACACATGTACATATCATGATTTAACGGCTACACTAACACCGAGTGATTTTAACTGTGGCATTGACATTGTTACATAGATTTTAAAATTATACAATACTGTTACGATTTTATTGAAAAGTAAACACGCGAATGTAGTTTAGACATTAGTCTTGATCCTCTATATAATTATGAGTAAAACCTTTTAGCAAAATGGATAAGTACTATCGAGGAAACTAACGATGTGGAATAAACCAATAAGGAACAGTTTTGAAATTTATTTGTACAAAGAAGGTCGAACAGCTGCGTATACGATTAATCGCTTTGCACTATTATGACCTCATTTGCACAAGTCACTGCTACCTGATTAGATATTTGTAAAAATGGGCGAGATTTGTCACAATGCAAGGCCAAGCAAATTTTATTACAAGTGGGACATCGC